ACCCATTATTATTCCCATTGTTATTTTGGGTAGTTTATAACCTTTATTATCTATGTTTTTCCATGTGGCTTCAAGTGCTTTCCAGGTCGTTCTGGCTTTGTTTAGTTTGCACTTCAGTAGTATGTGTTCTATTGTTTCAATCTTTCCACATTCGCAGTACTGTTTCTCCTTCCATTCAGGAGATGACATGTTTGCAAAGTAGTTTCCGCATTTAATCCTGTCGTGGATTATTTTCCATATGAAATCACTGATAATGTTTGGGATTTCTTTGAGTTGAAGACCCATCCATATGTCTTGCTCTCTTGGTTTTAGACTTGTGTAGTCCCTTACTGCCTTTTGGGCAGTTTTAATGTTTAGCTCCTTTTTTTTGTTTCTTGGCTTCTTTGTATTCCATTGTCTTATTAGTTCATATGCATATTTTTGCGTCAAGGCTTGTAATCTTGCACTTTTGTGAACGTACTTTAGTTCATGTTCTTGTTGGAGATTCAGATTATCAGCAGGACCTGGTTTGTTGGCTCCTTCATCTGCTAATTTATCAGCTTCTTCATTTCCATGTATCCCAACATGTCCTTTTATCCATTTAAAGGCCGTTGAGTACGGTTGTTTCCTTATATCATTTGCTATGTTCATCCATAACTCTTTGTTATCAACATTTAGCCATGCAATATCTTCCCAATGCTTTAGCCATTTTGTCATACCATCTACTACCAACCTTGAGTCAGATATTATTATTTTCCCTGATGGGGTTTCGATTCTTACTGCGTAGAGTGCTCCGACAAGTTCGCATGTCCCATTATGAGCCCCTTTGATTCCTACTTTGATTGATTTATTATCCTTGTGGTTATCACTTATCCAAAGTCCAGCGCCATTTTTGGAGTTGAGTGATCCACTGTTAGATGAGGATCCATCTGTATAGATTTTTACTTTTTCTCCTTTTCTTTTACTCGGAGTGTGTGGAGGGTCCCTGTATTTAGGTGGCTCTCTGTTGTAATTTATGTCAATTCTTCTTTTCTTTAATGGAGGGCCCTTTCTAAAGATTCTGACCATCTGTAGAGGGTGTTCCCTTTCTGTTATATCAGGGTTAAAGTCTAATCCCATATCATTTACTTCATCTTCTTCTTGTTCCCTAGTTCTTTTCTTTGCATTTAGCAACCTATTTGGTGTGTGATCCAAGTTGTCTTTGTGAGGGGTAATGTTCATTGGGTTGAACTTCTCACTTAACACTTCCCTTAGCTTGTTTGCTATTGATTCACAACTGTTTGGTGATTCACAGGCGTTAGGGTAGTTATGTGTATTATTTATTACGTTTTCGAGGTCATCAACTGTTACCACTTTGTGGATACGTCTTAAGCATTTTGCAGCTTTCTTTGACCATAGCATATTTGATTGTGCATCTATATGATGCCATATCGGCATCATTCCTTTGGTGTTCGGACTTATTTTTAGTGCCTCAATACCTATATTGTACTTCCTTACTGTCTTTAGCATTGTTTGGATTCTAACTGGGATTTTTGCCCATGTAGCATCTGACTCGTGCCAATTCTGTGTTACCCAATTTATTCGGGCTTCTTCATCGATTATTGGCCTCTTTGTTACATTCATATTGATGATTTCATCAAGTACAAAGGCCCATGTGGGGCGTTTGCCTGGGGGGGCCAACCATTTTTTTGCCCACATTATTTCAATAGCTTCACATCGCATTTCAATTGAGGGCATGTTCAAACCTCCTTGTTCTTTGGGGCTTGTCACCCATTTCCAGTCTATTAGACCTCTCTTTTTGTCTTTCCATAAGAAGTCTTTTGTTAATTTTGACGTTCTTTCCTGTACCCACTTGGGCATTGTGTTTACTGTTGCTAGAAATTGGTCTAGTGATATTACTAGTGCCTTTAAAATGAGTTCCTTTCCCTTGAAGGTGAGGTTCGCTCCCTTCCATTGGTTTAGGACTTTTTCTTGTCTTTTAACAATGTCTTCCCATTGTTTTGTTTCATTTGAGCTATTTCCGATTCTACCACCGAGTTGTCTCATCGACTCTCCATCTGATACAATCTTTGCTGTAGCTTCTATTTCATTTCCTGCCTTTAGGTTCAATTTTTTATTTTTTACAACCCATTCGCGGTATTCTTTGGTTCCAACAGGTAAATATTCCGTTTTATCTTCATTAAATTTTGCTGTGGTTGCTCCACAAAAGTCATCAAGGCACTTGTCCATCACTTTCTTATCGTCTTTTTTGTCTAGGCTTACTAGTGTGTCATCTGCAAATAGGGATGTTAGGACTTTATCTTCAACACCTTTGATCTTTATTCCTTTAAGTTTGGAGTCTCTTAGCATTTCAGCTAGGGGTTCAATTGCCATAACATATAGCAGGCATGACATCGGATCGCCTTGTCTAACTCCTCTATTAATTTTAACAGGGTCTGACATGGTTCCATTGACCATTATGCTTGTTTCTGTGTTCATATACAGGTGTTGAATGGTTTGGATCATTTTTCTTGGTATTTTATACTTTTCAAGTACCTTCCATAGATAATTATGCGCAATTCTATCATAGGCTTTCTCTTGATCTAGGGCAATTATGCATCCATTTATCTGCTTTTGTTCACAGTAACTTATCAACATATGCGATAGTTGTACGTTGTCAAACAGGCCCCTTCCTGGGATGAAACCTGTTTGATTTTCATGAATTAGTTTAGGCGCAACATTTCCTAGTTCTGTCGCAATTGCCTTTGTCATTATTTTGTAGTCGGTGTTTAATAATGTGATTGGTCTGTAATTTTTTGCTTCATTCTTTTCTCCTTTATTTTTGTATAGGAGAAACATTGTTCCTTTGGAGAACTCTTTGTCTTTCATTCCATTTGCTTCAATATCATTGAAAATTCTTGTTAGAATTTTTACAATATTTACTGTTATCTTTTGGTTCTTTCCTGTTTCCTTTGACACTTTTATCACAGTGTTTTCTGAGACCCAATTTTTCCAGAATTCGTAGATAAAGCCATCACAACCAGGTGCTTTGCCATTATCTCCTTTCTTAATTGCCTCAAGAACTTTTTGTTCTGTAAAGGTCTCTTCTAGTTCTCTCTGTTCATCCTTTGACAGCGATTTCTTTAGAGATTTTATGACTTTATTTGATACTTGCTCCCAGTCACTCCTTAGAGTTGGGGGTTCGGCTTGTTTTTCATGATATTGCCTAAAGGCTTCTGCCATTGCAGTTGTTTCAGTTTGTAATTTACCATTCATGTCTTTGATGGCGTATATTGTTTGGTCTTCCTTCTCAGTCTGTTTTAAGTTGAAGAACCATTCATTACTTTGTTCGCCTAGGAGTTCAAATCTTGCTTTGGTCATCTCTCTAGCGTTCTCAATTCTTATCCTTTCGTGTCTATTTATGTCGTTTTCTATATCTTTGAGCCATTCTCTTAGTTTTTGTACATTCTTTTTGTACTGTTCTTCATTAGTCTGATGCATGTCTTTTATGTTTAGGCGTATTAACCTTAGGCATCTATTCTTCTTCTTCATCAGAGTTGTTCTCTTTTTGTTTATTTGGGCTTTTCGTTGCTTTTCTTTTTCTTTCGCAACTTCTACTATTTTTTCTTTCGCCTTTACCCATAGGGATTGGGGTGATGAACTTTGATTGAATTCTGTTGAGTCCAACTCTTCTTCTAATTTCATTAATATTGGTCCCACTTCAGTTCTGAAGGGTTCATATTCCACTAAATCGTGGTTCATTCTCCATAATCCTTTCCCAATATATGGAGTGTTTTCTTTATTTTTGAAAACGGTTATTAACTTGTGATCGGATATTCCCAGCGTTGATTCAATCTTCCATTCACTGAAAAATTTTTCTTCACTTGTTGGGACGTATATCCTATCTATCCTTGCACTACTACTGTTACTTGCACTGGTAAAGGTGTAGTCCAGGTTTTTATCATTGTATTTTCTCCATCCATCAACTAGATGGTATTTACTTGTTATTGCGTTTATGGGGGACATTACCCTTTCTTCATCTTTTCTTTGTGGGAGCCTATCGATAGATTCATTTACCATGTTAAAGTCTCCCATCATTATCATATCCTCCATATCATTCATTTCAGAAAGTTTGCTCTTCAATTTTTTATAGAAGGCTACTTTTTCTTTTTCGATGTTGGGAGCGTAGATATTCACAACATTCAGTCTTTCATCTGGACCAAGCTGTATTATGATCCGAGACGCTCTACCTGGTATTATGACATCATGTGTAACTGCTTTATTCCTTGTTATATTTTTATTTAACAGGAAAGCTATTCCACTTTTTGCTTTTCCTTCAGGATCATTGTTGCATTTCACTTCCAATAGCGGGTTTTCTTCCATTATTGTTACATGGTCATTTCCTTTCAATTTTGTTTCCTGGACACATAGTAGCAGTATTTTGTTGCGCCTCATATAGTTCATTATCCTTGGATATTTTGATACTTTTGTCATTATTCTATCTTTGGAATTGTTCATGCTTAGTGCTTCCTTTTCCTCACTAAGTTCACTCTCATGTTGAGTGTATCTCCCTTTGACATTAAAGGACCCGATTTTTGAACCAATCGACCTTCCTTTTGTACGTCTCTGGGATGTGTCGTGGGCTCGTTTACCATACCCACCTGCCGCCCAAACACTATTCAAAACAGAATGGGTCCCGCAGGATTCGTTTTGGTTTAGACTACTTCCCAACGGGCATGAAGTAGCAGGGTGGCAAACCCCCACGTCACCGTCCCGGGACATGTCCTCAGGACGGCCAGCCATCTGTTCTGATAAGGTTGTACTGATCATAGGTATAAAGTATTAGAGTCACTTCTCGACTTAAGGGTGTTTGGCATTTCTCAGCCAGGAAATTTTTGACATTGGTTCCAGCCTTTTAGGCGGGTTGTTTTATTCTTTTTCCTTACTCGTGATTGTTAGCACATTTCCAGTGTATTTCATTTCTCAGTGGCCTTTCAGACTGATTTTTCTTTATTACGTAACTCTTCTTGTTGAGTGAGTATTGACGCGGGTTAAGGGGTGCCTCAACCCTCGTCAATACTCCGCCATCTCTCCTGTTGTTGGGAGTGGTCTCGACATTCTCTATCTTCTACATGTAAAAAGTCCTTTCTTCTTTGGAGATACTTGTTACCCTCTAAAATTGAAGCAGTATATTACATTACATTACATTACAATACATTACACTTACTTACAGTGTCTACGTTACACTATTTTATTAGTGTTTACATTAGATGGAACTCCGTATGGTTCACCTCTCTGTTGATTCATTAGTATTCATTCTTGATACTTACATTATATGGCTCGAACTCCGTATGGTTCAAGCATTGTTCATTATTAAACATTGGTTAGTACTCATTGTTTGGTACTTACCTTTATTGAACTCCTTTATGGTTCATTTCATTTGCCGTTCATTCTTTTCAGTGTCACTCAAGTCAATGATCGGAATGAAAGCATGATAACATCTAAATTAACGATATTATCTACTGTAATAAGTCCTTTCTCCTACGGAGTTACTTACTACGTCCTGTAATTGAAGTAGGATCCACCCCGGGAACTTCGTTTATGTCCTCGGCTGGTCTCCCCTCCTCTGCTCGGACCACCTCCTCTTCGTTGAGGGAAGTCTGGGCCCGCGAACTGTCTACTGATCGGCCACCTCCAATCTCTGAACAGACAGTCTTCTTCCTTGTGCCCCATTCCTTGACACCTGTAACACGCACTCACCAAAGACAACTGCCACGTCTTGTTCACTGTACCGAACTCTGTCGTGACCTTCGCAACCAATTGCGATCGGTCGGCTTGGAATGTTGCAGCCTCAACATTGTCAGTGAAGACGGCCTTTACCAAAATGTCCGAGGTGATGTACGCCCTCTCTTTTCCACCTATCATACTATGGGTGGATACTTTGGCCTTCTGCCATCTTTCCGTCAGTTCCGTTCGTACTGTTGCTTCGTCGTCAGGATGGACTCCTTTAACCATCTTGACTTGGGTTAGTTCTACCCCAGTGATCCGACGGAAGAAGGATGCTCTCCTCGGGAGGCCTTTCTTCTGGAAGAAGATTGCGCCTACCTCCAACACCTTCTCCCTCATCTCAATACTCGGGAGTTCGACTACAAACCAGGCATTCCTCATTCCAGCTGTAGCCGGGATCATGAAGAGCTTCTGTCCTTCCTTCATTTGCAATATCTCGCGTATCGCAGCATCGTGGGCGGCCATCGTATTGACCATCGCAGCATAGTTGATTCCAGTGACAAGGATCGGAAACCCTCTCAGGTTTCGGACAAAATCCTCCGCATCCTTTGGGGCTCGATTCAGAGTAGTCGTTATCGATGCCCACACCGGATTGAAATCCGGGTCCCTTTTCCAAACAGGCTTAAGATTCTTCGGAGTGGCCATAGGTTCCTCCTCAGCGTCTATCACGGGTTCGGAACTGAGACGAGGGATGAAGAAGTCCGCTTCGCCGTGTTCGAAGGGTTGCTTATTGATAGCTCGATGGTGTTCGGTATCCTCAACGTCCGATGACTCGGTATCGAGAACCACCTTCTGCAATCTGTATTAGCTTGTCTTCAGCCCTTGTTTTGAATCCAACTCACATCCACTTCCTCAGTGTGTCTTTTCCTCTTCTTCCTTCCTGAGGATACCGAGGTTTTCCTCTTTTGCTCAATACGTTCTTCTTCCTTCCCAGCACCAGGGGTCGAGTCAACATCCATTGACGTATCTCCTTTCGGGGATTCGCTCCCCTCTATCGTCTCCTTTACTCTACTTCTTTTAGGAGTTTTGTTCAAGGACATACTAGAGGTGATATGCCTTTGTAGTTGCCCGGGGTTCTCTATTTATGGCGCCCCAGCTTCATTAATCTCGTTATCATGAGATTGTTTACGCTTGTCTTTACTATTAACGGCGTTCATTCTTATTGCATTAACGTAGTCATGTCAATCTTTGATTCCTTATTCCATACACATTTAAACGGTGAGGATGAGTGCTCACCGTTTAAATGTTTAAACGGGGAACACTCACCCTCATCAATTGATTTAGGTAGTCACGTCAAGCCTTGACTACCTATTTCTTCCCGCATTAAGCTTGTTTCTTTAACAGCGCCGGCCCTTATTCATTGAGAATTTATAGCGTATTCTCTTCTTTTATCAGAGCTTCTGACTTTCACGATGGTGATCGTGAAAGTCAGAAGATTGAAGCATTGAGCCTTCATCAAGGGACATTTCCTCACTGACCTTATTTACCTTTATTCCCATTCTCAAATTACGGTATGTAATTTGATGTTTGGGTGACTAACGGTGATCTCTCAATAACTTTTTTAGGTCGTCACGTCAAGCCTCGACTACCTATTCCTTTATTCATTAAGCCCGTCTATTCTCCTTTATGGGACGCGACGCTTCTCGACAATTACATATGGTAAGAGCGATAAATGTGGTCATAAAAGAGAACATTAAGAAGCGCTTCTTCTACGACCGCATAACGCCATTACCATTATGATTCAAAATTTGCTTAACCCTCATTCAGGGCGTCGTTGTTTATGACTGCAAATGTTAGAGGCGATAATTGCAGTCATAGAAGAGAACTTCTTAGAAGCGCTTCTTCTATGACAGCATAACGCCAATGCCATTATGGCTCTCAATTTCGCTTTATTGGTTTCCCCTGCGGTACTCCCCTTTAGGAACTGAGCCCATTAATCATTAAGGGAAGCTCTTCACGACCCTACGTATCGCCATTACCATTGTCTTGGTGCGAGGAGCACATAGATTTTGGGCGATGTGTGAACACCAGTCTTTACGGACTAGTGAATACATTAACAAGAGGGGCAGGTTAACTGTGGCTCTAATATTTGCTTTATTAGCTTCCCTTGCGGTACTAATCTGGTCACCACATAGAGGTTAAAGCTTGGACTCAAGGACTGAGCCCATTGACCAGGTATCTGATCGTTTTCGATCCCCTAACCTTCGTTCTTGATTAATGAAAACATCCTTGGCAAATGCTTTCGCAGTAGTCGGTCTTGAGTCAATCCAAGAATTTCACCTCTAGCGACTCAATACCAATGCCCCCAACTATCCCTATTAATCATTACGGCGACTCTAGAAACCAACAAAATAGAACCGCACGTCCTATTTTATTATTCCATGCTAATGTATTCAGGCATAGGCCTGCTTTGAACACTCTAATTTTCTCAAGGTAAAAGTCCTGGTTCCCCGACGCACACCAATAAAGGGCACGCCGGCTCACCAAGAGGTAAGACTCAGTCAGACAGTACACACCGTGAGGCGGACCACCCGACCAAGCCTGAAGTTCAACTACGAGCTTTTTAACTGCAACAACTTTAATATACGCTATTGGAGCTGGAATTACCGCGGCTGCTGGCACCAGACTTGCCCTCCAATTGTTCCTCGTTAAGGGATTTAAATTGTACTCATTCCAATTATAAGACCCGAAAGAGCCCTATATTGTTATTTATTGTCACTACCTCCCCGTGTCGGGATTGGGTAATTTGCGCGCCTGCTGCCTTCCTTGGATGTGGTAGCCGTTTCTCAGGCTCCCTCTCCGGAATCGAACCCTTATTCCCCGTTACCCGTTGAAACCATGGTAGGCCTCTATCCTACCATCGAAAGTTGATAGGGCAGATATTTGAATGAAGCATCGCCGGCACAAGGCCATGCGATTCGAGAAGTTATTATGAATCACCAAGTGAGCGGCGAGCCGCGTTGGTTTTTTATCTAATAAATACACCCCTTCCAGAAGTTGGGGCTTGAATGCATGTATTAGCTCTAGAATTACCACAGTTATCCATGTAGCAAGGTATCATCAAATAAACTATAACTGATTTAATGAGCCATTCGCAGTTTCACAGTACAAATTTGTTTATACTTAGACATGCATGGCTTAATCTTTGAGACAAGCATATGACTACTGGCAGGATCAACCAGGTAACTACTTTCTAATATTGAGCCTAAGCCCAAGCAACCACTGATTCTTTAGCTGCAAAAAGCAGCTAAATTTCATGGAAGAGAGTTTTCATTAACCATGTATTAATGCTGATTGCAACTTGACAATGCGTTCTACCGAAATATACAAGCAAATGTCAAGTCACAATCAACCCACCTTGTTCCCCGTTCTCACAATTCTTAGATTCTTTCTACTTGTTGCTCTGCAGCAACAAATATCAAAATCTTCGAAGAAAACTACCAACAACCGGCACAGTCAACAAAGGACCGCGCACAGTCGCGGCGGATTTTCAAATGATTAAATGCAACAGGTTTAGCTATCAGCAAGTAATCCACTTCATTCAACATTGCAAGACTCGTAGATGAGCTTGACTCGGAAGTAAGCCTCAAAGCAAAACGCTTTGTTAACAGCTTGATATTATTCATCCCAAGTTAGTACGCTCTGTTAGACAGATATATCAATAACTCAGTCCAGAATATACCGGTCCCCTTCAACGAGCTAGATACTAGATAGACCCTATTGAGGTCTACTTTCACTTGGCTCTTAATCAGAATTACTAAACTAATCAACTCTTGTTAGAGAGTCTTTCATTGTTCTTCTTCATGTATAAGGAATAGGGGTTTGTTTGGTCATGTTGTGCCGTAAAACGCATGAGGCGTGATAATGGGTGTCCACAATTTTGCGCACTACACTTTTTCAAAATGACTTGGAATTTGGTAATTGAGGGACCCTTTGTTGAGAATGAATTATGTTTGATGGATGCCCCAATGAGTACAGTGAGTACTGATGATGTTCAGTGAGTTCAATGAGTTCAATGAGGCAAAAGTGGAACTGGACAGGTGCTTGCTATTTTGGTAAATTGACCAGCAACGTTTTGTTCCTACATGTGCTTGAAACAGGGAATACACCACCGAACCGACGAGCGCAATGGGCTACCAGGCGGACGCGTAGACAGCCAGTGATGGTGGAGAATCCCGAGGATCCACCATTGCACAATCATACCCTACACGACAAACTCGTTAACATGGACGGATTCGAATACATGCTACTTCCAGGACGTGATGAGGACATTTTTGGAAAAGTATACACCTGCAAGAAACACGCGCTGGTCAAGTCCAAAGCGGTGGGGACAGTGTTTGTTGTTGTGATGGACTGGTCGAAGGAGTCTATGACCCGCTTGCACAACGCCTGCGCAAATCAGGACAAACCATTGCGGAACCGAGGAGAGATCAATGCAAAGGGTGAACTGTATTGGTTATCTGATTGATACGGCCCTAACTGTGGTTACATAGGGTTTTTCATCGCACTACCAGAATGGAATGATTTTGTAGTGTGGAGAACCAAGTGGGGAGCAGGAGAGGAGAAGGATGACTTTGTGAAATCGTGGTCTAACTCTATGTATTTACTTCTCATTTTGGGGGATAATGGACCCTAAGCTCTTTCTTCAGAAAGGATTATGACAGCCAAGAGCAATCTGGAATGAGAGGTCTGCGTGGGGAACTGTATGGACCGAAAGAGCAGCATCGCCAGGGGCATGGAGGGGTTCAGATTGAGAGGATGAGGTCTATGAAGCCGGTCCTATCTTCTCTCGGTTTCCAACCAGAGCCAACGGAACTTGGAAGGGCCTGCCGTTAACAGTAAAAGGTATGGTCGAAGGCTGGATGATTTAGGAGATTTACAGAAGAGATTACTGGCGGTACGGTTATCGTGAATCAGCGAAAGCGCTTGACTGATATGTGAATGTTAGCGAGGCGCACAGTGTGGTGTGAGGGGTCTTGCAAAGGTGGATGGTCAGTGGAAAGAGAACGTACGTACACAGGCGGAGGTGTCCAACTGTGCGAGGGTTGGGTGTGATGAAAACCTGTTCTGGGCGAGTGCACAATTGAACATTGCATCACTGGATCACGTTCCAAATGAGGTGTCGAGTGTGGTTCCAGTTAAAGGGGGAAATGAATTAAGAGAGAAAAGAAAGGCCCCAGGTGAGGACATGTCATGGATACTCGGGGAAGTATTGAATTGCTTTATTGCTTGAAACGAAGGGTTAATCCACGACATTGGTCAATCCGGGGGTCCCCATAACGACGGCGGTGATCATGAGGGGATGGTGTCACATATGATGAACTGGTCAGAACCTAGGGCAGACGTCTACGAGGAATACTTTACGATATTTGACTTGGGGTGCTGCTGGAGGCTGGATGAGCTTTGCTCTATCTACTTTTCCGGCCTCTATTATCATAGTGGTGCCTCAGCAATACCGAAGGATGATTTTGATGGAGCATCCACGTACACAAGGATGACTTTGATCATGTATCCATCTGCTCGGGAACTTGAAGGTGACTCCCAGGTTGCGATGGGTTTTATACCCATGGAACCACGTCATGGTCTTCTGACATTAAATGTGGAGATGAGGAACTTTGCGTGCGTGGTTTGTTGTCTGGGGTATCATTGCTGATGGCAGGAGAATCTACAATACAGCTCTCATGCTTATGCTGACCGCGGCCTGACTACCTATGGAAATTATATTGCAGATGGGCTGTCGTTTATGACTGAACAATCATATCTCAACCACTTGTCCCGAAATTTTCTGTGCTTTGTCACGTACATGATTCGTCAGGCCCCGATGGATGGACTGGTGCGTGTGGATAAGGAAAAGTTCCTTTCTGCCTTCTCCATGCGAGACGGGAATGTGCAAATTGGGACACAGCCTTGGGAGTTGGGGCCCGGGTGGACAGGTGACGACGTGAGGATTGGAAAGATCTACGAAAATGACTTTGATGCAATGTCAGAAGAGGAGTGCCTTCAGTTATGGAACTCGGACACAGGATCTGACCTACCATTTGGGAATAAGGGGATCAGGCTGCAACGAGAAGTATGGAAGGAATACAAGATGCAGGCTATGCAGGTTTTGCCCATTTGCCACGCGTCAGGGGAAGTAGATGAAGTGGACTCCATTCGGCATGGTAACTACCGCAGGATAATTAGGGATCAGGGTGATAAATGTTTTGCAGAAAATCGTGCTTTACTGACATATCATTGTTAGCAATGAGAAAGGCGCAAAGCAAGGTACAAAATCAAGTTAAAAAAGCAGTCAAAGGTCAGATCAAACGTGCAAGTTCCAAAAGGGTAAATGTTAAGGGGAAGGTGAAGATTGGTACATGGTTTTGTGATATTGTTCAAGTATGCTTCTGGAGTTGATCGATTACTAGGTGTGGGTCGCAAGCAAGGGGAGCACAATATGGAGGAGATAGAGGTTGACAGAGAAGATGTGAGGGTCACGAAGGCCTCCTTAGGAGCAAGTGACGGAAAAGGTTGGAAAGATATTGAATTGGTCCAAAGATCCAAAGATGCACTCTAATTTGGGCCCTGGTAGGAAAAAAACCTGATGGTGTTACTGTTGGCCAACTGGTGCCCCCCCCGACTTCTGGTTCCCCCTTCAATGCTGGTTATCAACCTTTTGTCTCCTTCCCTGCGATCTGAGGTCGATAGTCTTGACAGAGACTTAGGTTGCTACAAGCTGGTACCTCATTTTCCCTCGCAAGAGTTGAGGAAAGGAGCTGGCTTTGGCGATCTTGCGAAATCTTACAGTTGCCTTTCAATAATTAATTCACGAAATGGAATAGAGGCAAGGATAATCCATCAGGATCTACTGCTGCTTCGGATGGTGGTGTGGGAGGAGCTCACTGTACTCCAAACAGGAAAAATCCGATCATCTGTATGGGCATCTGCACCTTGAGGTTGAATGGTTCACCTGACTCGCACTTGATATCCGGCATTGGCTTGAACTTCAGGCTGGCGACCAAGAATTTCATGCGGAAACTTACTTGACTCCTGATTTTCTGGTGGACCAAAGAAATACTACAATCCTACGATGCTCCAGAAGGCAAATTTTCCCAAGTGATCCTCTTGGATGGGTAATGAATTGTGCTAGAGAATTTGTTGTAAGTTGGATGGGACTTGCAGTGGGAAAGAAACAGGAATTGTCATCAATTTTTATTCGTGAAGTTTACAACCGCTTGGGGGTTGGAGCTTTGGCTCTAGGGGAGGTATGGCGTGTGGCAGAGAATGTACCTTTGCATCTTCTTGGTACATCCAAGACAAAAGATGTGGATGCGTCTGAGGTCATTCGCAAGATGTGCCATATCATGAGCGCGACGGTGGAAGTAGATGAAGATGTGATGGGGCTTCTGGTTCAGATTCACAAGAAGTGTTTCTCGGTGCGTGATCAGCTATCAAAAGATCGGTTGGAGGTGTTAGTGGGGATAGGTTCAAGGGGGAGAAGGTCTGTACCCCCTGAGCCCATCTACATTGTGGCCATTCTTAAGCATCATCCAAGGCACACCACTCATACTTATCCAGGGCCAAATGAGGAGGGGATGGGCATCTTAACGGTTTGCAACTCTCGATTCTTTAAATTGATCCCGAGGTGTACTGATATTGGTGCTTAGGAGTCTGATGGTACAACAAGCTTTCCGAACTACACTGCAAACGATACGTGAAAAATGCGGGAAACAAATGGAGTGGAAGGGAAAGGGCGGTGAACCAGGTAGTATGAGTTTCGCCATTGGTTATGGAGGGGGTGGGGTTCTATGTGGAGGTATACACCTAGCATTAGACTTTATATATCTACCCCATCAGAATCAGTCACATAGTCCATATCTGCAAAACAGGTGTTGTCTAGGAAGGCACGAACATGTTCGAAGGTTGATGATCCCGCGATGACATCAACAGCCCTAAGCAGGAACCTCTTTTGTTCCCAAAGCCAGGGAATCTCGACTTCAAAGGCGTCGTTTTCCAATTCCCGAATAACGATTGCTAGGACTCTGTCAAAGTACTTGGAGCTGCGAGGATATCCCTGCTGCGTAAGATGAAGTAGTGCAGGATCAAGAAGGACGGTGGGGCCAAGCTGCAAGACAGTTGGTTGAGCATGGTGGGTTTTCTGTTTTTTGAAATTGAAAACCTACCATGGTAAACAGAGTGGCAAACTTTCGATGGCGAGAAATGATTTTATTATGGTGGGTATTGAACTTTCGATAGAGGGCTGCGCACTTGATTTTCTTTCATCGTTCAGTGATCTTGTAATTGGAAATACGGGCAAATTCGTTGGAAAAGTATGTTTTGGCTACGGCGTGTCGAAATTGGAGCTGGAGTTCGGGAGAGAGTGTGTCCCATTCTTGGACAAGCTGCAGGGCCTGGATGTTCCGCAAAACACATTTGATCCATATATGCACGTTGTTATTTTGAGTATCTTTGAGGATAAAGATTTCTCGAGCCAGGGCGCGATCTTCGAGGACTTGAATGTTGTCGATGTTGTTTGCAGAGGAAGTCCATTTTGGAATACTTTTTGTGACGAATTGGTGTTCACCTAATTCTTTTTCCTAAAGGACATTGATGAGTGTAAGGTGATGAAAGGTTTTGCGCACCATGGTATGAGTTGGGTATAGCTTGTACCTGCAAATCATGTGTATGATCGCTTGCCGTTCTTGGTCTTCAACTTTGCCTTTATAACCAGCAGCAGCTACCATGGACCTAAAGTCTTGAAGACGAAATCGGAGACGGCCAGGATCGTGGATTACTTCGAGGATCGGAGCCTTTTGCGCTGTGAGTTGCTCGTCCACAACGTCGTTGGGATCTTCGTCGGTGCCATACTCATCCCCTTCGTCCACAGAGTCAGCGTGGGAGACCAGAGCTGCAACATCTTCCGGGAGAGGATCTGTGAGGCATGCATAGAAGGCTCTTTCAGGTAGAAAATTGACAGACAGTACTAACCCCAGGTGTAGGTTCCTATCTCTAAGTTCAAAGGGTCACCTTGATCGTCAACAGTTACCTGACCCATGGCGATTATCCACTGCAGTAAACTCTCGGCTTTGTGGTGTAGTGCTTGCAGGCCAGCAGAAAAGGTTTGCCGAACGTCAGGCTCTGTATTAGCGGCAAGTGGTGCAATGTTGCCGATTTTGGCGTAAACCTGAGTGAAAAGCTCATTGGTGGATTTGAGGGCAAGGTTGGACATGGTGAATCGGAGAGAGTTGTATAACCATCAGATGACGTCGAAATGAATATGCGTGATTGTTTGAAAGGCTTGGCAAAACGCAGGACTAGAATTACAAATGCTATACACTAGACAGTTCGTTGGTTGTTAACACTAGCTTTCTAATTGTTCCTCTTATTCTTCCTCTTCAGAATCTTCCTCGTGTTCTTCCTCTTCCTCCTCTTTCTCAGAATGTTCCTCTTCCTCAATATCAGGAGGTACAGTACACTTAAAAAAATCTTCGACATATTCACTGGTAGAAGGAAAGGCAACCATGTTCAGTAGATGGGTGACAAACTTGCGGCGCCTCCAGTATTCGGTACGTTCAACAGGGGTGTGCTCAAGGGCTTGAATGACAGACGGGATAGCTCTCTGGAGGAACGATGAGGGTGAGGATTGACCATGGGAGGATGGGTGGAGAATGATGCTATCGAGTAGGGCAATTGCCCCAAACTATACACAGCAAAGTTTGAATTTTTTCTGAACTGGGATGGTCGTATGGGATCCATACCTTTTTATACAGTTTATCAAGAAGAGAACGGCGGGCCATCACCGAAGACAGGTTTTGAATGCACTGTAGAACAGCTGCTGTTGAGACTTGATACCGCCTTTGATAGTTGAGGACTTGTTGGTGGCGATGGCGTTGAATTGAGACGCATACAAGCGCTTGGAAACAGCCTCACAGTAGGCGAAGATCTCTATTTCATCGAGAGAGCCCCATAAGCGGACAGAGTCAATGGCGATGATGTTCTGGACGATACTGTGAACCCATAATCGGCACTTGTCGGTGGCTTGGGCTTCCCAAAGGAAAATTTCGTGGTCAATTAGGAGTTGCTCGTTGGAGAAAGTCGGTGGGGGTTTGGTCATGCGTTGGAGCTTGTGATTCAATCCACCAGGGGAAACGCTGTCATATATGGTATTTTTGTGCTTGGAGAAGGGCCTTGTTGAATGATTCTGCACAGAGAGTGTTGTGAAAATGCACCATGTCCGAGGTAGTTGCCTTTTTGTATCCAAAAATAATCCTACGTAGGCTGTCGAGTTCGATCTGAGGTGTTATCATTTCGCTACGATGGTAAATGCGTCTTTGCAGGTCTTGTAGAGAGTATTTCGCTTCTTCACTTTGAATATTTTCTATTACATCCATGGTGAGATCGTCCACGTCATCGTAGCTACTGGCGTCGAATTGGAAGCCATCCGAGGATGGCATGGGGGTGTTGGTTGGTGTTATCCAGCTCGCTAGATGTGAACTCTGTTAACAACAGGGAGGGTAAAATTGGGTTGATTAGAAAGGACCTTACCGTCTCTATACTGACCAAGCATGAAGTCGACAGGTTTGCCTGGAGAATCGTTGAGAATCTGACCCAAGGATATGGTCCAAGTAAGGATCATTTCGGAGTTGCAGTGGAGACTCTGGAGGTCTTTGATGTATTCTTGGCGAAAATGAGGTGTCAAGTTGGCAGGCGGAGGGTCAACACTGGTAACCAGCCAACAAACATCACGCAGGAGGTGAGAAGCTTGCTTGAGTAATTCAGATGAGGTTTGCATGTGGTGAGAGTTCAGAAGGACGCTGTTGTTTGTACATGTCTGTGTATATATGCTATTGTAATCAGGACCCTGGCAGGCTTCTTGTCTGCAGCTCCCATTCACGGCCGACTTGTATAACACCAATCCAGATCAATTGATTTTCCATCCCAAGCCAGTCAATGTGGCGAATTCTCATGGAAATTTGTGTTTACTCAATCATGCCTGTCTGATCTCGGTACCACTCGCCAATGGCCCTGCAGCATTGACGGAATGCTTTACAAACAAGCTCTTGTCCAGTTTGAGGGGGTCCATTTTGAAAGCGGTATGCGGAAGTCATATCTAGGTTGAAGTAATCGACTTGGCTGACAGGTTGCTGAAGAAAGTTCCATACACCGACAAGGACATCCTGAACAGTGAGTGGGCTCGCTTGACGGAGTTTGATAGCCCAGGGCAGGCGAGGATGTGTTATAGTAATACGGTTGCTATGCAAGACCGTAGCACTTTCAAGAAGCTTGGTAACATGGGGATTGAGGAGGTTCGTAAAGACTTGATTTTGGGGAGACAGGTTGATGGGCAGTCTAAGATCAATGGCGATGGGAGGTTGATTGTAAGTCAAAATAAGGAGGACTGGATTAGGAAGGAAGCGAGGATCTGGGGTGCCTGTGTTGTTGGTGGTACTAGGAAGAACTGTGTGAATGGGGGAAAACATACGATAGGGCTGGTTAATGGAGTATTGCTGCCGCCAGTCTTGGGGTCTTTGAGGCAGAGGAGTATATACGCTGTGAGATAACTGTAAGTGAATACTCTGAATCGTGATAGAGAAAGGGAACGAACATTGGGAGATGGAACATGGTGGGAATGAGCAAGAGGGTGTGTGTCATGTGGGTTAATGTCGATGCACGTGCAATTACAGGAGTGATCGGGGCGTGCGAGATAAGCAAATATGTTCGTCTGGTCTGTCCCTTTGATTTGGGTACGGAGGGAAAACAGGTGATAAATTCTCAAGAAGGCAAGGGCTTGGGTAGGATCAAGAGCACCTTCATTTTGGGGCACGGTGCTCACTGGTCTTTTCCCTACAGGTAACTAAGTAGCGTATTGTCTATGGTTGGAATCATCCCGTATATTGCTCATGCGGAATGAACTGGATGTGGGATAATCGTCAAACAGTCCTCAGAACCGCGCGTAAGAGCTACATGGAGAGGGCCCGAAACCGCCTGAAAGCTTATGGCTCAGGGCTTGGGTAGCCTTGATGGCACCACTTGGACTGGAGGAGTGTCAACTATACATGGGTCTCTTGAGGTGAATATGGATGTTGATAGCTAACGGGATTCTTCAGTGAGGACCACAGAAGAGAATGGGGGGAGAAGTGTATTGGGCATCTTGCGCCTGGTGTGATGGTGTATGTGGAATCTCATGTAGAAAAAAAGGTAGCTGGTAAGTATTACAGGACTACTACTACTATTCAATGTCAATCACACTTTTTCAATGTTATATTTTCTGACTCTCGCCAATTTCTTGCATCTGGCTGTGAAGAGTTCTTCATAACGAGGCGGCTGGTTCTCCTGCTTTAATAACGTCAAGTATACCTGATCTAAGTGGGTGTGTAGTGCGCAAAAGGTAAGAACGTGGAACATTACTCGGAACTCCACGCTAAACATGAGGTGTTCCAGTGCGGGGAGGTAGGCAGCTGATTGATGCAGGCAAAGGTACCTGAAGAGCTTAACACCAGTTGGATTTTCCACCCACGGGTCGTCTTCAGAGTAGGATAGGTGCCGAAGATTTGCAAGGTTGCTTAAGAGTTGCGGGAGTGAGATTTTAGACAAGCGAATGTTGTGGAGGTTCAGAGACATCAGACGTTGGAAATGTTGTAGAAGATCGATGTTGGAAGTAGGGCAGTACGACCGTTTGAATTGGAGTGAGGTTAGGTTTGGAAGCTGGAAACATTGTAGCGAGGTATCCACTATGGCGCCGCCAGTGAGAGTGTGAAGGGAAAGAGAAACACAGGACTTCAGGGCAACGGGTAAATCAAACGACGGTTCGGGTACCATGTTGCCCGGAAAGTGCTCTAGGCGAATGGATCCTATGTGTATGTCCTCAACGTTGGGGCACTGGGTGAGGAGTTTGCATGCATCGTCTAGCCGCATGTGATCAATCCAGATGTACCTGATGGATGGGAGAGGGTGTGAGGGTAGAAAAGAGAGGCGAGAGACCAGAAGAGAAGTGAGAACGGAACAATCAAAGGCACCGCTGAAGGGGTCGATAATTGGGTATGGACCTTCGTGAACAGTTCCGTGGCGTAGGTTAAGGGACTTCAGTGCAGGAAATTTGAATTCTTGATTGAAGAGGGAGACAAAATTTTCGCCTTCGAAGGCAAGTAGAGAGAGTTGCTGGATTCTAGGGGCGGTGGTCAGAAGACAGGATGGTAGTAGTGAACCTTGCAGCCAGATGGTGAGATCCAGAGGGGAATGCTTGGATCTGCGCAGAACCTCAGCAAGTGCGGTTTCTGGGCCCATTGTTTCTGCACAGAATGTTGACCAGAGCTGAGGATTCTGTTCTATGATTGCATGCCACAGCTTGCACACCTGAGTAGAGATCAGTGTGATTCTTCTTGCTGATGAATTATGGGAACACACCTGTCCCAGCACAAGCGTTGGCAGGTAGTTTCGCCAAGGAGGCTTGAGAATGACCATTCTAATGCAACACCAACTGAAGATTTTGAGATATATCTCCTGGGGCAGGTTGGAGATTGGGGAGCTAGCGATTTTCTCCATTGTTGTGGTGTGGTTGATGTCTGTAAAAACTAATGCATATATTGATGAGAAAATAGGTGTCTGGAATGACGTCAATGGATTTTTGTCATGACAGTATGATGTAATTCCTCTGGGCTCAGCACTTTAACGCCGGTACACCGCCACATTGTGTCGCTCACAATGTGGCAGTTCTTTGGGCGCTCAATAGCGGAATTCTGGGTTGGGCAAGTGTGTTGAACAGGTTGCTTACAACCCAAGCTTGAACGGGTACATGCGTGCTCCTAGAACAGCTGTGCAGGATCCCTGACCAAAGGTAACAGTGTACGAGGCGAATGGTGCTCGGTTGAAGTCCCTCAACCCTTCCTTAAGATGTGGTAATGTCTTTGGAAGGTCTGCACAGGCACTACAAAAGGATTAGAAGGGCAAATGAAGGTGAGCGGGGAGTAGAAAAGTCTGTAGAAGCTTTTCTAAGGTATCAGGAGGACTTATACAATGTTCATGTGGTAGCCAGAAGGTTTTTGAAGGTCTCAAGGTTGGAATGTTGTGAAAGCCCTTATGAAGGTATCAGCAAGCCTTATAAAACTGTGCTAAGGTACCCAGGAGGTTTCTAAGAGTTTCGAGAAGGTTGTCATGCTTTAGGAAGCTACAGGCAAATAGTAGACAGTTAATGGGGGTCGCAACCTCTCCGAAGGTCCCTGATGTTGTATGGAAGGTCTACAGAGGCATCATGAAGGTACCAGAAAGATTTCCGTGAGTCAGGAGGGGCTTACCAAGGTCTTCTGAAGGTACAGGGAAGGCTTTTACGACCTTCTAAGACTATTTAGAAGGTCTACGCAGGCATTGTGAAGGTACCAGGAAGTCTTCCACGAGTCACGAGGGGCTTATGAAGGTTGACAGAGGCTTTATGAAGGTACCACGCGGACTCAAACAACCTTCCCAGGGTAATTTGAGAGTTACCAAGCGTTTGGAAGGTTTACACAGGTGCTATGAAGGTACAAGGAAGGCTTGTACCACCTTCTTAAACTATCTAGAAGGTTGTCAAGACTTTGGAAGGTCTACGCAGGCATTATGAAGGTACCAGGAAGTCTTCCATGAGTCACGAGGGGCTTATGAAGGTTCGCAGAGGCTTACGAAGGTTTGCAGAGGCTTATGAAGGTACCAAGAAGGGTTATACAAAGAGGTAATGAAGGTTTGTGGGGGGTGAAGGTGCAGAACTTATTCCTGATGGGTTTCGAAAGTTTCTAATGGTGTCTGGAAGGTCAACAGAGGCTCCACGAATTGTCAGGGAGGTGCGTGGGAGAATAGTGTGCCTCCGCAAGGTTCATTGCGCCATCAAGGCTCTTCCGGACTATGGAGGTACCTGATGAATTCTGAAATATTATAAAATATAAGCTTACTTGGAAACTCTGTGGGGGTGTATGTAAATTTCCGGTCAATTATGACTAAACATTCTTGTTGTGGGACAACGAAGACTTTTAGGCCACTAGAAAATTCAGGGCAAGACCCAAAAACCGGTCTTCAAAATTTCTTTCATCTGCTGCATTTATTCAAATCAAACAGGTTGATTGGAACACAAAAAGGGGAGGGATAACATGAAACACCAAGAAAAATGTCCAAACTGTGCGTACTTGTTACTTTATCACTACGGGGTAAAAAGGCTTCCGTTGTCACTAGATAAATCAACAGTTTTCTCTTCAATGGGGCCGTCGACTATGGAAACAGAACTGCTGGACGCTGTGGCTATGTTTTCATCTGGGGAACCTGGGACAGGACCACCACAAGACATTGATAAATTCTTGACATAGGACTCATCAGATGCCACGTCGGTAGGTTCCACACCGCCGTGGGGCAGGCTCGTATCGACAGCTGGAGGATGGGATTTTTCGCGAAGGGGATCATCGAGAATACGACATACAGGTTCAAGCGGGGTTCCATTCAAGAGTGCTTCCAAATAGACCTGAAGGTAATGATCCCATAGCACCATGCGTTGGTCAAAATTGGGGACAGCAGGCAGCTGGTCATCCAAGGTCATTGGGAGAGAGGGTAGCGTAGATGTGATTGGGAACATCCTGTGATGGAGTGGTGGTTCAATCGCAGCTGGGGGTGAATCTGAAAACCCAGCGTGTTGGGCTGCATCCAGCAACGCACTGTCTTCAAAGCGAGAGTTTGCGAGAATTTCAGAGAGCAGGTTATCTTCAACATTGCCCCGGTTTGAAAGAGGATCTTGTGAATCCTGATAATAGGTTTGAATGAGGGATTCGGCGCCCGAGGCTCTGCTTTCGTAAATCTGTAAGGTCTCGTTGAGTTCCTCGATCAGCACCTGCTGGCGGGCGGCCATTGCGTTCCTCTCGTCCAAAGTGTGCTGTGCTTGACAAAGGCGTTTATTGGAAAGCGAGCATTCCTCCTGGAGTTTATTGTGTTCCTGGGACCTTTCGTTGCTTTCACGCTGGAGGGTGTCAAGACTATCGTTTACCGCACAGCCCTTGCCCTTCTTATTATCCTTAGGTAGAGCTTCTTCAGCCGAGCGTCCCTTGCCCGTCTCGTCATCTTTGGACAGGGACTCTTCTGTCAACCGCCTCTTCGCCTTGTTCGTATCCGGAGGCACGGATTCTTCTGCTGAACGCTTCTTGCCCTTCTTCGTATTCTTCGCGGTGGTTTCCTCTGCCCATCCCTTGCCCTTCTTAGTATCCTTCGGGGTAGCTTCTTCCGTCAAACACTTGGGCACCTTTTTCTTCTCCTTGGATGGTTTTGACAAGAGCTGCACAGAAGATTCGTTGATTTGTGGATCTGGGGAAGTTTCCTGTGTGGTGAGGTCTTCATTTTGTTCGAATATCCGAAATTCGGCCGATATCTCAGGTGGATGATTCCATTTGCGCAACAGGGAGTCATACGTCCGCCAATAGTTCAAGGGGATTGTATAACTGTCCTTCTTTGTCACGCCATGTTCGTCCAGAAATTTCCGACTGAAGGCCAGGTCCTTCCCGTGTTGTCTGGCAAATGCACGGTGACGAGCCAGGTGCGATATACTACAGTTACTGCTGCCGCAGGGCTCGCAACGGGGGTACTTTGCTGGAACGGTGCACTCAATACGCTTGTGTTCACACTCCATACATGGAGTAGCAATATCGAGCAGAAGGTTCCAATGAGGATCTTCTTTGACATAGTCTGCCAGCGGGACGCCGTTAACAAAGACTTTGTGGAAAGACGAGAGTATCGAGGACGAAGGTTCATCGGATTTTGTGACAGTAGTCCATTTCTCTTTGGATCCCACTGTACTCGTAGAGTTTGAAGAAGGAGAAGAATGATCGGGTCTTGCATTGTTGCCATGAGAGGGATCTTGTGTAGATGGTGCCATTGTTGCAATTTTGGGGGAAGGAGTTCAAGAAGAAACTTCGTCACGTGATATCAATGAGACACCATGGGCTCAGCGTTTTGACGCCGCCTTGACAATTGATATTGCCGAAGTAACTATAATTCAACTTTCCAGATATCAGCTTACAATTGCTGGTTAAATCTTTATTAGCTTTGGGAACAAATACAGGATTCAATTGGTGACTGTCTGGAGGGGTTGTACATAGAGCTACAAGAAATAATGCGACGACGGATGTTACAACAGCTGGAAATGTATCTTCATCTGGGTATCAAGCATTACGTGACCAGGGAGCAGGGAAACTGATCTACAAGATGGTTTTACGAGCTCGTTGATTGGCTATATTGTTTCTGGATATGCTGGGTTTCCTGTAGGCACCGGAGCTGTGCAGAGGAAAGTGCAGATAGTATTCGTTTGTGCTCTTCTAATGGAATCGAGTTCATCTGGAGGTTTTAGTGGAGATCCTTCATCTCGGCGAGATCCTTCTCAGTGCGTTCATGAGTAGCGCAAAGTTGTTCCATCTCCGTCTGCATTCTCTGAACCTTCAACCTTAGGGTCTGCAAGAAAACAGAATATGAACAGTGTTCAGTACCTGTTGAAGGATGGAAAGCTTACAATCGAAGGCGGTCCAGGGAGGAGGTTCTGGAGTGTCACATACTCTTGAGAGAGGGTGTTGCCAAGCGCTTGGACTTTTACTTCATGCTGGAGTCGTTGGACCTCCTCCGTGCGTATGGCGAGTAAGGCTGCGGTGTCTTTGAGGAGTGAGGTCAATTTGGCCAGCTCTCTCTCCAAACTTGACGGCTCGGGACTGCCATTTGGCTTCCGTTGAATACTATCAGATGACGAGGTACTGCCGTTTGTCTCCAGTTGGGGAAGACTTTGGGGGTCCAGGGTTGTACTGTGCTCACTGGAGGATTGACTTTGGGGGGTAGAAATTGGAGGAGGCGGATTGAACGAACGCAGAATGGAGGGTTTAAATTTCGAACGGCGAGTGGTGGGCACAGGACAAGCTGGTTGGGGATCTTCTACGAGTGTTTCAGGGACGGACAACTTCGTCTTCTTGGATTGTGTTGGCGGAACGTCACTGGGTAATAGCATGTGCTTTTCAGGGCGCGGGCGACTGATTCTCAATCGAAGGGCTTGGTGTTGGTCCGGTGTAGAAGAGCTCAACGACGTGTGGAGTTTCGCCCAGAGAGCTTGACTTATGCCATAACTGTCAAGTCCATGCCTCGGGCCTCCATCCCGCCGCTCGGCACTCCGAAGATCTACCTTTATTGTAATCTTTCTCTTATTGTTCTTTCTCGCTACACATATCCTTTCGTTCTAGTCTCTCCTTATTGTCTTTTACTCTACCCTGCAGGTACTACTCGTATAGCTCCTAGTAGTTAGTCTGGCGCTCCGCACCGATGCGCCGTTCCGTAGATATAAATACTGCCTGTACGCTACTGTAGTTCCTCAGTTTAATTATTAACTTAGATCAACTTAGATCTCCCTTCTCAACTTAACTCTTCTCTAAGTCTTCAGGCTCAACGCCTTGAAGTACGTTCTCCTCGACCTTAGGACTTTAACGTTCTCTGGTCCGCTCCTCGTCATCGGCGATACCGCCGCTCCGACCTGGCTGCTACTTAGCTTCTCTCTCTCTACTCTCGCTCTCCGGGGACTAACGGCGTAACGGCGGTGTTGTTAATAACTTCACTACTGTCCCACTCGTCTTCCGCACTTAGACACCTTGTGGCTCTGGCACGGTTACACGGTGTACATGATCTTAACAATAACTCTTCTCCTGTTCATCGTCACAATGTTTTCGGAAGAACAATCTTGCATGCGCCAGGTCGAGTCCAGCGAATCTGGAGAAGTATAAGTATCTGACCAGTTTTGCGTGGGTACAAGTGGTGTGATGACCACATTGACTACAGATTACGTGGTGCCGACAGGGATGTTTCTTGCAGCTCGTGCATTGTTTGTCCATCGTAATGATTGTGCAGATTTTGTTTTTCTCATGACAATCAAAGCAGGGGAAAGCAGCTTGAAGGTGACTCCAATCAGAGGTTCTTGCATAGGTTCCGAGGTTTCTGCCACTTCGGAATACTTTGTGAAATTCCTCCAGGAGTTGGGCTGATGGGTTTCTTACGGTCGAGGCCATTTTTGAATCTGGGACAGATCGCTTTGGGCTACCGCACCGAGAAGGATCAGCTATTGCAGCATTTCCTTTCAGACTAATCTGGTGAAAGGAACTCTAGGGACTTACCACCTTGGGACATGCTTGTTGATTAGGTGCAGGATGTGCAGGTGATTGATTTACGCGTGGAATTCGCGGGTCACATGACTTTGTCACATGATTGCGGCCTAGGTAAACTTAAGGATAAATAAACGTAGCAAAATTCTACCAGGATGTGCGTCAAAATGGTTCAAGCATTTGTCACAGTAGGTCCTAATGCTCATGATAAGTGCGAAAAACATATGATTCAGTCAATATTCCATCATTACATTTAAAAAGGAAAGAGGAGAGCGTGGATTATGTTTGTTTGAGACATTGTAAATTGCACCCCACTGACAATTAAAGAAAATTTAACCTAATTAGTCCGCGAGAGCTTCTTTGAGGAACAAAGCATGGCATTTAGCCAACTTTATTGCATGTTTTACTCTGGTCATATTTGTCTACAGTGAATGGATTGCGGGCCGAAGGTGCTACTGTTGACAGGATGGTAACGCCCAATATAGACACTTTTTCCTCATCAACATCCCTGCTGTGTAGATGATGTCGTACCCTGCCAGGACCTTGACATCACACCAATTTTGGTCCTGAGCTCATTACGAAGACGGTCAAGGTGATGACCGTCCCAGTCGACCCGACAGTCAGCCTGTGGGCGGATGCCTTCGGTCTGCTAATAATCAGATGGTGTTAACAAGGTCGCGCGTAGTTATAAGCTGAACTCACCGTGATTGTAGAAAGGTATTCTGCCTTTTTCACGAAAACCTGTGCGAAGTGTAGCATGTAAATACCGCAATCCAAAGAGTTGGGTTGCGTGGGGACCTAGAGAGCGATGTAAAGAGTGTTCCAAAATCAGGGATTGTTTGAGACTCAGCTGACCGGGATATTTCTACCTCCGGGCTTCGTGGTGTTGTAAAGTTTCTTCTTGTCCCCAGCTTCTAATTGGAGATACTTGCCAAGAATATCGATGACATATGGGTGCTGTTCACCCAGTGAATCAAACGTGAATATCATGGGCCTAGGATGGAGTGTTTAGCATTTTTAAAAAAGCAGGGAACCAACACACCGGGAAATAGTTGTGGGTGCAATAGCACGGATGTAATCGTCACTTGGAGCAACGGCTTTCGGAGGTGCGGCAGGGGTGTAAGGGGGTAGTGAAGCTACATTATGCTCTTCTGCAAGATTCATGAACTGGTGGTCGTCGCTTTCATCCTGGGAAGAGTGGGGGACAATCGGGTTCATTGGCGTTTGGGGAGGGTGGATTATTGACCGTCAATAGTTGTATACGAACTGTCTCCTCAGCATCACTCTCACTAGAGGATTCAACATCTCCAGAAGATGTCAAGATAGTTTCATCAGGCGCATACTGGTAAATTGTGTCTTGAGGAACGTCAGAAGGGAGACTTGTGTTGGGAAGTCTGGGTTCTGAGGAAGGCAGGAGAACCAACCCCGGTTGGTAAACTATGGCGAGATACCAGTGCTGGCTGAATGTGAGGTTTAGTTATGGACGACACTCAGCGATGGAGGGATTAAACTAACTTTTCATTGATTGGCACAATGACGAATTTTTTTTCAAAAATATCGAATTTAGATGTCCATCGTCTGACGTTTTCGTATCCTGCCTGAATACTATTTTAATTCAGAAAGGGGGTCGTAGATTGGCACTGTCCATACCTGTCCTTATTGAGCTTGCGATAGAAGAATGAATTAAAGATATGTATTTGTTGGGCTAACTCGGGGTTTTCCATGGCAAGTTCATGGTGCCATAGCCTGGGGGTGAAGTCAGATATGAGTAATAAGTAATGTGAGAGATTTCCTACTGGAGGCCAAATTCTATTACAGTGTCGTTTAGATACTGGTGTGGAAGCAGTCTTTCATAATCAGCTTTCGTGATGTTCACAGCTCGCGTGCGTTTGTTAGGCTCGTAACTGAGGATACTTCGGAAGATTCAATAAGACCACGCGATCGAGACAGTGTGGGTTGACTGACATTTCTTCCAGGGGTTTGGCGGACTGCTTCTGTTGCTGTCCTGTTGAGCAAAAGGGACATAGGGACCTTTTAGCTGCTCACCTTTCTTTTACGCTGTTGCTCTAGTCAGATGGTCAGGAGGAACGAGGGAATTTACTTTTACTGTTCTGGAGTGTCCAGTGTTGTCTTGTACAGTTAAAAGCTGCTGTGAATCGCGCTGAGGATCCCCAGTAGCTGTAACCGCCCCAGGGTCTTGGTGTGGATTTTCTGGTTTGTAGGGGGTCAAATGCTGAGCCTGAACGATTTCCACGGGTGGAGGATCCGAGTGGTCTGCAGACTCATTAGATAGGTTATCCTTTTGCTTCCACCAAGGGGAATTTTCACCATGGCGGGGTTGTGTAGGTACGACCTCTTCCTCGCTGCTAATAATGCCCACAGCTTCATCAGGGCAGCAATCTCGCTCATCCTTTTGCTGGGGTGGGTAAGAGGTGGAGGGACAAGGTTCCGCTTGAAGAGTGTTGTCCTGGTGATGATTGATTGATGCTAAAAGGGATTATGAGCGATGTGTCTGCTTGCAGAGGGGAATGGATATCTGCACGCACCAGGATGAATAGTTTTCCAGTGGTTTGGGGGTAGAGCTGCAGCTGCATGAATCATGGCTCTAGTTCCCCATGTCTGACGAAAGATTTCTTGGTGGGTCTGGATTACATTATAAAGTAGAGATCTTGAGGACGGTGTTGACACATACGTTTGAAGTGGATGGGATCGGAGTGGGAGGATTGTCCCATCTACGAGGTATATCAGCAGTGAAACAAAGAGGGGCCCTGAGGGACATACTTGGTTTTGGAGCGCTTTCGTTGTCCGCCAAGAAAAGATTCATGAGGAGGCATCATGTAGAAACTTGGTGATGAATGGGTTAGGAGAAAGTGTCCAGGCGCTCGGGTTCTGATTGTGGTCACATCACGTTCGTTCACCGTTACTCACAAGTCACAGCTGTTGCTTACTTCAATGAGCAGCAAATCAAACCTAGCTTCAGTTCAAACCCTCATTATATGCTAAACTTTCCAGACTTTTATCCATGTCTTTGGTGTGAACTCAAACCAGGGGACGCGTTAGCTCAGCACTTCCCGGGTCCAATGCCGAAAAAACTACAAGACGTTTGAACCCTGTTTGTGATGTTATCGAAATTACAGATTCCAGCAGCGACGATGATAAATGCAGTGTTATTGAACTCACCGACTCTAGCGACAATGAAGATGCACCTACCAAGAAAGATGTCCTCAAAGTCAGGCCTCGGAAGCAACCAGCTCCAACAGCGTATACCAAGAAACATTTCCACAAAGTCAGGCCTCGGAAGCAATCGGCTGCAACTTCAACTGATGAAGCGCGACTCAACCCGCCCAAAGGTGATCAACTCATTGGACCACAAGCAGAGGGGAAAACGGTATCAGCAATGCTTGCTCAAGTGTTGGAGCTAGTTCCTGATGTGCAGCCGCGGTTGGCCAGGGACCTAATCCTGCGGCACTTCACTGTTGGTCAGAATCAGGTGCTGGAGGCAGTCATCCAATCGCTGTTCGAGCCCACCTCCGGTCGGAGGGTAGAAAAGCGGAATTCAACAGAGCAAGGTCAGCTTGAGGGAGGGGGGCACAAAAGGCCTCGGCTCGGTGAGGTCGACTATTCCCGGGTAGACCGAAACCAGAAGGGTGGTCCTGATTATCAGGGCTTGTGCATGGTGAGTGCTATCCATTTACGGCTTTGGTGTGTTTGTTGATTCCAGTGTTTTAGGAGCATCTCCTGGTGGATTTTCCGGACGTACCAAGGAATCACATTAGGAAAACACTATTTGCTCATGGCATTCTGTATGCTCCAACACACCTCTTTCTGCGTGATGAAAAGCGGCGTGGGCCGCCTTTTAAGTACATTCCAAAGGGGACAATCAACACTTCATCTCTCAAGGGGAAAGGTCGGGCGTTGGAGGATGCTGAATTTCAACGGGAGCGCGCTTGGCTATTAGAAAAGCTGAAGGATGAAGACGTCAAGTTGGATAGAAATACGGCTGAGCAATTGGATCAACAGGGGGGTATGGAGTGCGGATGCTGCTTCGGGACATACCCTTTTGTATTGATCCTTTTTATTTTCCTGAATCTGCTCCTGATGTTCACATAGGACAAAATGGTGCAATGCCCGGATGCGCATCTGTTCTGCCCAGGATGTGTGAAATCTTACGCAGAAACTTTGCTCGGTGTCCATAACATTAATATCAACTGCATAGATCAGTCGGGATGTAATCTTGCATTCCCTGTCTCAATTCTTCAAAAGGTTCTTCCTGGTAATCTCCTGGAGCTGTATGAGCATGTCAGGCAGCAGAACGAGATTGAAATGGCTGGTCTGAAGGGCCTTGAAGAGTGCCCTTTCTGCGATTTCAAGTGCATTATTGAAGGCCCTCGCGGCAGTCTATTCCACTGTGGTAATATGAAAGCCTGTGGGGCTATCACTTGTTGACAATGTAAGAAAAGGGTAAATTGGATTTGTTGCTCTCAAATACCCCGCCCTGTCTAATCATGCTTGCTAGGATCATCGGCCTAAAAGCTGTAAAGGTGATGTACCCTTTCACTTTGGCCATATTAGGTGTATCGACCTTCTTCTCTACAGAGATGGAAGGAGAGCAATTGCTGGAATGTCACCATTTATTGAGGAGGCGATGAGCAAGTCCCTCTCAGTTCTGTTTTTCAACTTGTCTGATGATAATTACAGCTCGTGCATTTGCAAAAAAGCCTAGGATTCCCGTTGGGAGTGCTGATCCACTGGGATATGGTCTGCCTGGAATGCCCAGAAACAACCCGTATGTGTGAATGGCGAGACAACCACAACTTGTGCAAGTCTTGCCAAGAGGGAAATAATTTGTATTGTTACTGCACTCGTCCTGTATTGCCTAGTGATGATGAACTCCTCAATGGAAATTTTGATGGTTTGGTATATTGAGTGACAATGTTCGGGTCAGTTGTTATGCAAACCTACCTGTGTTGTACCTTCATGATGAACAACTTGAGACACGAGAATTGACTGATGGGTACATGTCATGTTGGTACCAATACTGGATTGAACTAAATAGAAATAAGGATTTATTGAAAAATATTCACTGTTTTTTTCTTTGTTTCCAGTTTTTGGTGATTAGGTCAATTGGAAAACTATTTCCCAGTAAAATTCATAGGGGTTATCTGGAATATTCTTGGGTGAGATATTAAGATATGCGCCTGGGAGGGTGTGCAACAAGCTAATGTTGATATTCAATGATATGGGCTTAAGTGAGGCATGGGAAGGGTTTTATGCACTTCATGCCACATTAATGAAGACTCGCCACTCTGAGAATGCGAACTGTTGCTTGTCTATCCTGAGGAAAACCGTGTTTGGTTTCTAAACAATGTTCCCCCTCACTGGGGCTTGTTGTGAAGGTGTTCACGGTGCTGGTTTACTGTAGGCACAGCTGGTTATATGTCTCACTGGGGACCCATTCACAGTCACGACAATCTGGTCACACAGAATCTTGTTGTGCTACAAAGCTGCTATGGAATGCTTATGGTGTAGCCGTTCATATTGAATCCATGACCAGCAATGGCTTTTAGGGAATGCTAGGAACCTGAGACTTAAGTTGTTACACTACAACCAATGTTGTATAGCTGTGGGATATGATTATTGCCAAAATGAGTACACAATCTCTCAGGTGGACTGCGAGCCTCCAAGACCCATAACAGAGCTGAGAAGTATGCAGGGACTACGTCATAGAAGTTATGTGAAAAGGTATGACATCATACCTCTGGCCTCAGAGGTTTAATGCCCGTGCACTGCCACACCGTGAACTCACAATGTGGCAGTGCTCTGGTTGACATTGTGGGAGTAAAATGGGCGCTTAAATTGAAACTTTCTTTGCTTCTCTCTTCCATCTTAATATATGATATTTTGTTGCACTACTGGGGAAAATCTCGACATGCAAGATCTCTTGCAGATGGATGTTCATGATTCCAAGGATTTGAACAGGTCAAGAACAACTGGTATTCTAACTGTGTGGCTCAAGGACAACATTCTCGTGGAATATTGTGCAAGTTAATGTTCAACTTTGGGCATCCTAGCCTGCGCCGTGTGTCCCATTCCCCGGTAACATGCTCAGCAATCTCAGTGTAAGACCTGGGTCAAAATAGGTCTTGGGATAGGTTTTGGTATAGGGACGTTTATGTTGTAGCGTGCTAGGAGCAGGCTGGAGCTCGAAGGGAGCTACGGGAACCGCGACCGAGGACGGGAATGACCAAGTAGTGGTTGGGATGACAAGATGATGACCCTTGAGGGGGTTCCTAAGAGGTCTCGAGAGGTCCCTAAGGCGTAGGGAGGTTAAGGAAGAGTGCGGAACCGTACGATATTGCGTAGTAGGAGTTGTACTCGCTAGAACGTCAAAGTAGAGTCGAATAGGTTGTATATGGGAAGGGGTCTCGAGGGTGTAAGCTCTAGAGAAGGGAGGTACCCGTGAGGGTAGGTCCCTGGGGGCTGGGCGCGAGGAGGGGCGTTCTCGAGTGTGGGAGGTGGTAACGGAGAAGCAGTACGTAGTTCGACGTGAGAGGTAGCTTCGACGTTATCTAGATCGAGGTCCCGAAGCTTACGAAGTAGCTAGGGAGCTCTGGGAGGTTTGGAGAAGGATAGCTCACCAAAGCGTGTAGGCGTTGGGAAGCTTTAGTAATATTCGAGGGAGTTCGGGGACTCACTCGGAAGGCTTAGACTTGAGGTAAAAGCGTATATTCAATCGTATAGACGATCAGAGAGACGATAGATGAGAGTGAAGAGAAATAGAGGTAATGAAACAGAGAGTAAAGAGAATTCCGTATAGGTAGCAGGTACAAAGGGACAGGGACTGGACCTATGTAAAGGGTGTGTGTTCAAAATATACCAAGCTGGGGCTTCGGGACATTGCGGCGTTACTTAAATAGGTACGGGAAGTGAACAAGAGAACATCTGGAGGCATGAGGTAGCTAATCGGAGGGAGGGAGGTAATCGAGATTAATACTTAAAGGGGTTATCGGCTAGAGGGCTTTCGTACGCGTGTCGGGGTGAAGGACGTTTGGCTAGTGGCGTCAGAAATACTTGGGGAGGTGTCTGGTGGTACTTGGGGAGGTGCGGAGGGCATACAGGAGGTGGGTAGGACGTATGGTAACGTGTGGTGGTTACTGGGACTGGTCTGGTTGTAGCCAGGGCATGACACTCAGACCTGAAGATTGGGAGGTGAATGTGGAGAAGACTGTCTGGAAAAAGGACGGATGGAATGGGTTTGGCTTAAAAAGGTATTGCTTGAGTCCTCTGTGCTTGGGTATTGCATTATTTTGGGGTAAATGAGGGCCTGCAAAGCTACTAACCGTTCGTACTCAGCTAGAGGATCGTGTCGACATCAAACAAGGGGCAAGCTGTTTTGAGAGCCGCGTCAACGTCCGTTTCATCCCGAACATCCGACCTAAGTACGTCATTTTAGCGCCGGCAGATCTTCTTGCAACGTCCGGCCCGTTTCTATCCTTCCATTCGATGCTGTAGGTTCCTTCAGCCCTCTTGACACCAAGTCCACGGCCACCCAGCCTTTCTGACCACTAATGTCGTCTTCACACCCGACTCGCGACCTTCTCCCCCATCTATCTCTACCAACAATCACTCGATGGCCCGGCGTATGTTTCACCACCTGCTACAACTCCTCTTATCGCGCCTGGCTCGAGTAATCTTGCCTGCCGATGGCCCAGGCTTTCTCTACGTGTTCGTGGACGGGGGTGTGTTGTGGAAAATCGGTATGACGAAGGATTTCCATCGTAGGAGGGCAGAATGGGACAACCGGGGAGAATCTGGATGGTGCCAGTCCCGACGATGACGAGGAGGAGGGCCGGTAAGTCTGAGGTTCTGGGTTTCGACGCAAACCCATTGGTATTGCAGAATCAATCGCGCATCTGGCGCTCGAGAACAGCTGCTTAGATCGGCCGCGGGTCTGGTGCAACAACTGTAGGTGTTTCGCATATTCCGATGGATTTACTAACGTTCCACCTTCATAAGGTGGACGCCAACATGTAGAGTTCTTTGTTTTCACTGGGAACCCAGGACAGGTCTGGACGACGATAATCTCCCCAATCCTTGTGACTGCTGCGGTAGCTTAGATGGTATGTGTGTCTTTTTCGGATGGGCTATGTCCGCTACACTAACGATTGTCACAGGTTTGCATTGCACCATTTTTTTGGTTTCCGATGTCTTGTATTTGTAGTACTATATATTATATGTAGTTTAGTTATGCTTTGTGCACAGACCTCGACCTGCATCTTCTGGGTAGGTGTCCTTTCTACTAATCGTATAGTTTTTGCTGATGATTGCGACAGGTTCTAATTGTATTGTTTTTTTGGTTTCTTTGTATATACTTTGATACTCTTTATAGTCTAGTTGTACTACGTGTTGCTTTATTAGTGTATGCTTTCATGCTTTCTGTAGTTTAGTTGTGCTGGCTGTCTGTGGCTTCTGGGGTGGGTTGGTCTGTTGCCAGGGTTGGTCAGGAGGAGTATTGGTTTGGAATTTGGGTTCACCAGCTGAGTTTCTGTTAACTATCAATGCCTGCTATTGATCTGTTACAGGTGGCATTTGCAGATACAACCTCTCAAGTTTCAATGTGGGCAAGTTCAAATGGAAACAAGATGATACTGGGTGGTGGTAATGTTTCCAGGTTTACATTACTGATATGTACCTGTAGATCATGTCACATTTTCCTGTATCTATGTAGGCTGAATTCCATAATGAGACAAACAAGTAATATAAGTATCCTTGGGATGACAGTTGGTTTTTCACTTCCTTCCAGCTGTGGTTCATTACCAGCTAGGAAGTGAGCAACCAACTCCTTCCATGTTCTTTCCCATGAAACGCATATCACCAGGGGTTGCTTTCCCATGAACCTCAATTCGCCTGAAACCTGCGTCATCCAAGTTTCACTATACTGGTGCAGGTCTATTTAACTGGCCTGAACACCAGCAATACATTGCTTCCATCACATCATTGATGGTAACAACGTGGATGCAAGTCCAAGTTAAATTATGGGAAGGATGTTTTTGAAGCAGGCACATTGTAGTGACTACTTGACTACCATGAATCCAGAAATTGGGTCCCTGAGTCAAGGTAGATATTTGGAAAAACAGAGTTAACTGCTGCAATCCAGGTCTGAACCCTGGCCTGTTGGTCACATTGCCCTGCGTGGGGTTGACGGAGGCTCTATCTACCACTGAACAAATGTGACAGTGCCAACGATCAAACAAATTTCCTAATTAGAGGTCAAGAATTTGACCCTCACTCTATACATGGTGTGTGCAGTCAGGATTTGAACAGGTCATAATGTTGACTACAAGAAACATTGATGACCACTAGAATAAGTCTTGAATGGTCCTATTAGTGGCGAAAACAAAATAGTAAATGAAAAATGCTTACACGGACCTAATGCCTTAATAGGGATTCGAACCCTAGCCTTCTGTCAAGTTGGGCAATACTCAGGGAAGCAATACATATCAGACGCTCTACCACTAAGCCATTGAAGGCTGTCAGGAAATTCACTTACCTGTGCACAGTTTGGCTCCATTAAATAAGACTTTCGCGTGTATTACCACCATTTCCAGGAGCACCATGGAAGCTCGTAGAACATCCCAGGGGCACTAGAAGCTTAAGACATTAGATGGAGACCACACTGCGGGGATGAAACCCTAATCTTGTAGTAAATATGAAGAGATGAGGTACGAAACCTCTGTGAGAGTTTGCTGAGACTTGTTAAAAATCTCTCTATGAAACAATTATGAGCATGGCAGGAAATGAGATTATTTTGAATATTCCTATATTGATTTCAGCCTAAGCCATAACAGATTGTTCCAAAATAATCCATTGATATTTGCAATATTCACCTAATGCTCCACCATTGAGCTATTAAGAGATTGTACTGAACCTACTAGTGGTAATAAGGCTGACCCGGATACTGGTGAGCACAATTTTTTCTAAACATTTGTGCGATAATATCTATATACAAACATATTCAGCTTGCTACAGTGTCTTCCCTCTCTTAGATGTCAAAGAAAAAGTTGAGAGTTGAAGTGAAAGCCAGAGTGAAAGCGGAAGTGAAGTGTGGTAATTGGTTGGGAGCCCACTCCTCTCGTACCCTTTTGCCTCTGGAGAGTGAAAGTTGTAATTGTGTTAGATGCAGGTAAAATGAAATTACTTCTATTAGGTAGTGTAATTTCTGTGGCAGGTGATTTTGCCTAATGTGTGTGAAACAAGTAGTCCTTGCAGACTAAGTGTCGAAGGTGCTCAGAGAGTAATCAGCACTAACCCCTAAGTGGAACCTGGGACACTTACAGTACATGCCTGATTGAGGAGCTTGAGCGCTTACACGCCCAATTAGGAACCTGGAATGCCTAATTGGAAAGCTTGGGCGCTTATGGACCTAATGGAGAAGCTGGGCGCTCATATGCCTAATTGGGAACTTATAATGCCTAATTTAGAAAATTGGGCGCTTACGAACCTAAATTGAGAAACTTAAGCGCTGTTAAGGAAGTACGGTTTCAAGGCTCTGCTTGTGGCAGTGTTTACCCCACTAAATGCAAGTCTGGAGTGTCCATGGGATGTGGGCCTTTCTCATCGCAAGAATAAAGTAAGAGGTACATCAGGAGACAATATATGTCAAACACTCTACCACTGAGTTATTGAGGTATGCGACTGAATGTACTTGACTACATTGAGTGTCAGAGTGCAAAAATATTCCACCAACAATAAACTGACCTAAAGTCTCAACAGGGATTTCAACCCTAGCCTGTTAGTGACAATGAATGTGCGCTACGCTGCTCAGAAGAGAGTTCTATTCTCACATTTGGTCATGGGAATTGCCACGAATAAGCACTACGTTGAGTATGAGAAATAATTATGAGGACTACAGGTGGTTTTGCCATAGTCTTATTGATGGCAACAAAGGAAGTAAGTCTGAAAAAGAAAGTCCCAGCAGGAATTCAAACCCCGGCATTTCACTTGCACTCCAGACCACCCATGTTTAGCTCTACCACTGAGCTACTGGGACTTGACTAGCTCAAAGTTCATTCAGGGAAGGTATTGATAATCACCTTCATAGACATCCTTGTTTGCTCATGGGAATTGCCACCAATGAGCACCTTCGTGGACAGCATGATTCTCATGTCGTTTGCTGATGGAATTACTTTATCTTAGCTCCAACAAGTGCCTGATTTTCCAGAAGAAGTGAATAGGCGCTCAATTCAGGCAACAAGTATCTGCCGGAATTTGTGTGACAGCTGCCCTCTGTTCTCTCTAGCTGTACCCTATAATTTGTCCCCTGGTCTGTCCCCTAGGAGTCTCTGATACCCCTAATGGCGGGTAAACACTAAATGCAGCTTGATTTCTGGAGTCTCCACGGGATGTGGGCCTTTCTCATTGCAATGCATACTAATGGGCTAGCTATACTCCAATGAGTTGGAGTATTGACCAACACTACTGCATAATGAAACCACCCAGATTTGGACCAGTTTATTATTTGGAGGTCAAGCAACCTCAGAAGTGCCAGACAACACAGCCACACGCTACTGGTACTGTGTGGCAGTGCCAAGAGCACAGCCACAGGAGGCCGTCAGTGGGTGACAGAACAGTGCAGTGAAGGAGGGGTGGAGCAGAGCTCCACCCCTCTTTCATGTCATGCCAATTGCAGTCATGTGGTACCAAGTTGGTTGGAATGTCCCAGGGTATGGATCTTTGAAAGAAAAATAACAAAACACCGCCTAACCCCGAAATCAGATCATGGCTATTTTAAGTTGGTGGGGTGGGAAAGGATGCTTGCAATAACTGCCAGAGTCACAAGAAAAGTCCCAATTGAGGTGTAGAAAGGCTGTTGCAATTATTGAGTGGTATGAGTGACCCCCCCTAACATAGGCTGAGGGTGACCCCCCTAAAAAAAAAAGTTGTCGAATCCTCTTGGCCAAATACAAAAAAAGTAAGGTATATGGAGTGGAAATATGTATATAAAAGGGTTTTGGAATGTGATGAAAATTCATGGTTATAAATGACATATAAGTTTCGGGAAGATAACACTAATATTTTTGCTGGAATAGTAGAACCACATGCATTAAGACCTCTCTGCATGATCTTAACAAAGAACTCAAATGGATCAGAATTGGGGGAGTCAGAGAACTCAGAAGGTACAGAATCAGAGGGGTCAGAGAAGCCTGCTTCAGGAGACTCGGAGGACTCAGAAGAGGGGGAGAGTACATAGCAATAACAAGTCCAACAGTTTAGCCCCTTTTTAATACTTGAACCTCAATCACCACTATGTTTAATCAGTCAGTAACTACTAATGTTCCATAAATCCCAATCTTAGTTGTCCAGACCAGCTTCTAGGCCCCCAACTTGGAGAACCAGATACTGTGTAACTCCTGTTGATTGTAAGATTTCTTTGGTATATTGGATGACTCTATTTTTTCAATGCATCCCAGATCACTGGTCTGCTCCAATGAGATATGTCCCAAATCCACTGGTCCACCTACTGTTACCCCACCACCCACCATTTGCCATTGATTTTCACTTTCCACTTGATTTAAACTCCAGAAAACCCTTGTTCCTCAACTTAAACTGGCATCCTACTTCTCAAGACCTCAAAGAACATGCCTCCTTCCCCAGCCTCTATCATATATGACTCTTTCATTCCCATCTTCCTTGGTTCATTGACTTGGCCTCTCAACTTCCCCTTATGGTACAAGAATCAAACCGGCCAACAAATGGTTGCCCAAGCATTTCATGCAATAGCCAACTACTTTGGTGACTCAACTGGACAGTGCCGGGCTTATCACACCTCTCATGGAGTCAAGAGGGTAGACTATTGAGGGATGGACAAAAATTGGATGGGAGATGTATTGGAGATAAAGACTGGAATGACTCCAAATTAGGCCACTTTCTACCAAAATGCACTTTCATGTATACATATCACAGATATTCTATCCTGGCCTACTCTACCAAACCATAGCTGTAATGTCCCCTTGTATTGAATTCTTCAAGATTTCTGATTGAAAGGAGATTCTTGATTACCTTTGCCAAGGCTATGGTTTCCAAACAGTCACCCACAAACAGTGCCTGAATTCCCAATTTTGAAAGGCATGGTGCAATACTTGGTATGTTACTGGCTGGCTCAATCCTGGACAGGGTTTTGAAGAGCCCCAAGAGAGAGTGGATATATTCATCTTCTGCCTCCCCTATACAGTTTGCATTCATGGAGATTATCAAGCTTGTAATGGTGGGCTGCATTTTAAGCAAAGCCTCTATATCAATCCCTGGAATATTGTCAACCACTAAAAACTGTAGTTTGGCTCCAGACAAAACCAGCATCTTGCATATTTCTGTACAGAACATCGAATGGAAAGGTGCCTGTTGCGATGACCAAAGGTACATATCAACCAGATGGATGTAAGACCTGGGTCAAAATGGGTCTTAGGGTAGGTTTTGGTATGTGGAGGTTTATGTTGTAGCGTGCTAGGAGCAGGCTGGAGCTCGAAGGGAGCTACGAGAACCGCGACCGAGGATGGGAATGACCTAGTAGTGGTTGGAACGACGAGAGGGTGACCCTTGAGGGGTTCCTAGGAGGTCCAGGGAGGTCCCTAATGCGTAGGGAGGTTCAGGAAGAGTGCGGGACCGTACGATATTGCGTAGTAGGAGTTGTACTCGCTAGAACGTCAATATAGGATCGAGTAGGTAGTTTATGCAACTGGGTCTCGAGGGTGTAAGCTCCCGAGAAGGGATACGCCAGGGAGGGTAGGTCCCTGGGGGCTAGGTTTGAGGATGGTCGTCCTCGAGTGTGGGAGGTGGTAACGGAGAAGCAATACGTAGTTCGACGTGAGGGGTAGCTTCGACGTTACCTAGATCGAGGTCCCGAAGCTTACGAAGTAGCTAGGGAGCTTCTGGGAGGTTTGGGGAAGGGTAGCTCACCAAGCGGGTAGGCGTTGGGGAGCTTTAGTAATGTTCGAGGGAGCTCGGAGACTCACTCGGAAGGCTTAGACTTGAAGTAAAAGCGTATATTCGATCGTATAGACGATCAGAGAGACAATAGACAGTAGTAGAGAGAAACAGAGGTAGAGAAACAGAGAGTAGAGAGAATTCCGTATAGGTAGCAGGTACAAAGGGACAGGGACTGGACCTATGTAAAGGGTGTGTGTTCAAAATATACCAAGCTGGGGCTTCAGGACATTGCGGCGTTACTTAAATAGGTACGGGAAGTGAACAAGGGAACATCTGGAGGCATGAGGTAGCTAATCGGAGGGAGGGAGGTAATCGAGATCAATACTTAAAGGGGTTATTGGCTAGAGGGTTTTCGTACGTGTGTCGGGGTGAAGGACGTTTGGGTAGCTGCGTCAGAAATACTTGGGGAGGTGTCTGGTGGTACTTGGGGAGGTGCAGAGGACATACGGGAGGTGGATAGGACGTATGGTAACGTGCGGTGGGTACTGGGACTGGTCTGGTTGTAGCCAGGGCATGACAATGGACTATTTCTCCGTGAAGATCAATCTCCTCAGCCTCAGGCAGGAACATGGAAGACCAAGGTTGGGATGAAGTTTGGAGAATACTCCGCCAGAAGCGACACACCCAAGACAGTTTGACAATGATACAAGGCTCTGGAGTATTCACTGCAAAGGTCAATCCATGTGTATCCCCTCGGTGCCCTACCGAGTACATTGAGCCAATGGGTAAGCATAGATATCTTTTTGACCATCCATAAGACCATCTTACATACTTCAAATATACCCATAGTATGGTCCTCTGGGTACTACTGATGGTTGGCCAGGAGTACTCAAAAGTGCCCAAAGGAGTCTCAAAAAGGCTCAGAAGCATGAATTGTCAGGAACTCACTGTCCTGACGACCCACTGACGAGGTCCCTTATGGTCACCTTCTGCCTGATGAGGCTGTAAAAGGCAGATAAAATTCGCCTCAACACCAGCTTAGTGGTTTTTGGGATTATTTTTGCTCAAAATGTGAGCACCCCAAGTTCTCCAGTTATCTCCTTGCCATGAAAATCCCTAACAACTTCTTCAGGGCATATACTCACTCCCCAACTCCTTCCAAGAGTTTATCAACCTAGTTAAAAATTGCATCCAAAGGTTTGTGAAGAGTCCTTTATTTTTTATAACAACCCAACGTGGCCTTTGGATTCCCTTAGGCCATACCCCGAGCGTTGTTTCGACGATAGCCAGTTGCTAAAATACCAGGGAGAATACATTGGGAACAACATGTTTTTCCCTCTCCATGTATTTTGCCTAATAACACCCCTCTTCATCTTGCGCCCCTGCAATCTTACTCATAACCTGCCCCAACGGGACCATGTACTTCATGTGAGTTGGCTGTTATTCTATTCATCCCTGTTCTGTCTACACTTATAGCTAGGTAATGAGGGCACTGGCACCAAAGCGTCCTGAGTCCCTGGTCAAAATCGAGACACAGTGGATCAACAAAATAATCACAATTGTTAAGGCTGAGAAGACTGTCGAAGAGGTGCTCTTGGAATTTTCCGAGGAGAATCTTTCATTTGAGAATATAAGTACCAAGGATGCCTCCTTTTTCAAACTTTGTACGTTAGTCTCCAGTACTCCATTTGACATTTGAATTTAATCTTTCTCTGGTTCTCCCTCTGTCGGCCCATCTTTGCTTACTAGATGACCAAGACCCATCACTATCTTCTTCACATGATGGTACACTATATTTTAATTCTCACCTCATAGCTCCTACCTCCTTTTCTCTCTCTATTCGCAGGTAATTTTTGCAATTCCCTCTCCTCTGCCATCAACCTAGGCAATGAATCTACTGACACTGGTGAGTTTCAATTCAGCCCTAGTACTTTGAGAAGGACTTGACAAATATTTTACGTCTATTCTCTTTGTATACCAATATAGGACAATCTGCGCTCCGTATCTACCCTGACCTTCTCTCTTCTCTATGCATACACACATGTTCATCTAAATTGTTAGATGGAGGGACAACCACAGGAGGTACCCAGCCCCCCCTTATACCTGTGATTGGTGATGAAGGCCAAATCGCTGGCCACAAACGGACCAGAAATTGTCCAGAGTATCCAGATGAGAATAGTTCCATCATAGCTGATACTGAGCACCCAAATAAATCACAACGCACCGATAGCAACCAATGCTCCCCTGGTACAAGTTTAGCCCATACTCCCGAGCATGGTTCCAACATATCACATAAACATATGCACACAAGTACACCTACTGATAATTGGGAGGACGAGCAGATGATAACACAGGGAGATGAAGAAGAGGATGAGCTGGCTATTCAGGTAAGTCCCGCCCTGAGTTTCTCAATACGCTATGACCACTCACAATTCACATTCAGAGTCGCGGTCCAGTGATTCAGGACCCAGAAAGACCCTCTCCTGACGATGTAGAGGATGAGCCAATGATACCAGGTTCTTCGGATGAAGAAGACAAGGACAGGCTGGCTATTCAAGTAAGTCCCACCCTGAGTTCCTCAATATCTTATTACTGCTGACTATTCACACTCAGCATGGGGTTTCAGGGACACAGGGCCATACAACTCCTTCACAAGGGTCCTCTTCTGAAGACAAAGTTGAGGACCTCATATCTCATTGAGGTAGCCAGTCCCTATCTCCCATATTAGCTAGTCTCCTTAAACTTGTTGGAGAAACCAGTACTTGGTCCCCAAATCTCTCAAACTTTGATGAGAAACTCATTGATACCTGGATCAATGAGGACATGTTCACGGATGAAATACAAAGTCCCACAGGAAAGAAAGGTCTTCATGAAGATGAACCTGACTCAAAGGTCAAGGCATTTGCACCTTTTACTGATCTACCTGTAAGTAGATTCATTCACCTATTACTTCACAGTAAACCTCTGATTCCTTTTGGCTTACAAAGCGCCAACACAGTAAAATTTTGGACTTTCCAAGCCTAGATTCTTCTAGAAGACTTTTGCTCCACTATGAATCTTATGCAAGTTGCCAGCCTTTCACTAAGGTTGTTACTCACACATGACCATCACAGGACAAAAGCACCCTTGAGGACATTGAAGCCATAATTTCCAAAGTTCACCAGACAGCATCTACTGATGGGTGTGAATTTGGACTGGGTGCCCGTTCAAAGCCATTTCCAATCTTTGAAGTTGAGTACTCTGACTTCAATTCATCTCTCCTGTTCCCAAAGGCCCGCAAACAGAGGATTTTTCACAATCAACACATCCTTATCCATAACGCTCCCTGCCCAGACTCTAGTGAGCTCAAATTTGACCCACTCACCTTCAGTGAGCACCTAGGATCTGTATCTGAGCTCAGGATGCTCCATGGTCAGTCATACCTATTCAATGCTCCATTTGATATGCTAAAACTTTTAAATTCCTGCTCAGATGCCACTTTATTGGAGGAGTCGGAGCTGAAAAAGGATGCCAACAAGGTTCATTCCTCGGAACATTGTCTGATGTCATCCTGGCCACCCAGAATCCTCGGGGTGAAATCCTCAACTGTCTTGACCTTCCTCTTTCACCTGATCACTTCCCTCCCCCCCGAGGATTATCTACTGACTCTGCAGTCAGGCAGAGGTTGAATGGATATTTTACGCACTGCAAGCAATGGGGTCTGGCTGCAACAGCTTATGCGACTCATAAGGGCCATGTTGATGTCTCTGGATATGCTACCTATGTACGAGTTTTGGTTGGAAAAAAGTACTGGATTGTGGGGTACCCAAGGACACCAGGTGGCTTTGGTTCCATAGATTCCTTTAGGCAAGGGTATGAGGCCGACCTCAGTAACAGTCAACAATGGGCCATTCACAGTGTAATCCTAGAGCCAGGTGACATTTTGTGAGTAGTCATCCCTCCTCCTTTCAGAGTCTTGTCTCGTACCTCACAGCATCATGTCTCCATGCACCCCACACTTTGTGCTTACCTTAGAACCAACTATTTGCCAAGGTGGACACTTCTACTGCTGTCAAACTATGGAAGCCACAGGATCTTACCTCTTTCAAACTTTTATCACTGCTAACTGGCTCACAAACAAGCCTGATGGTCCCTCCAGGCAAAATTTGCACATTATCATAGAAGGTTGGGCACAGTCCATCCTCACAATGCCAAAAAACTACCTGGAACTTGTTGAAAAAGCAAATCAAAGTGGCAAGTGTCCCCTCTCCTTCCATTAACTGTATGAGAGACTAACCATTGGGCTAGAATCTCGAGTTATTCACCACCTCCCCAACTTTACACTCTTTGATGACATCCATGGATTTTTTATGCTATGGAGCATAGCTCTGTTTGGTCCTGTGCTTGATTACAGACTATATGTGGACAAGGAGGCTCACATGCAGGAGTCCATATCTCATGAGGAAAAGGAAAGCTACTCTAAAGCTTTCCATTAGGCAGAACTTATTGCAAGCTGGGTTTTTGACAACTATGACTTAGTATCCACATCACCTGCCTCTGCTGTTTCACTCCAGGACTTGATGAACAGCTGGTTCATCTAGCAGTGCAAGGCTCTTCTTGTTCACAAGGTCCAGGCATTGAAAAGAGGCATCTCTGAAGAACTGGGGTCCATCACTGCTAAAAAAATCAGAAACACTATAACCTACTAGTCAAAAGGGGTAGATTGGTTCCACAGCGCCTAGTCAGCTCTGGGGAGGTTAAGGAGTCTTGAGGAATTCATGGAAGGATGGGACCAGGATCCAAAGAACCTGACCTATGCATTGAAGCCCCATGCAGATGGTCTCGAGTATATCATACAAAGGAAGCTATAAAGTAATACATATGTCGGATTTGGCCTAAATTAAGGTCAAAAATTGTTGCCCAAGTTCACCATAGCAAGTTGACTAAATTGTCTACATTGCCTCAGTTGTCTATGTTGACTAAGTTGACTAAGTTGACCAAGTTGTCTAAGTTGCCTAAGTTGACCAAGGGAATAAGATTGCCTATGCTTCTCATTGAAGTTGTACCTTCACTGTATGACTGAGATTGGGTCAGGTGGAAAGAGCCATGTCAACATCACTAAGGAGAATAGATTCAGAGAATTAGATGGCGAGCTGGATGGAAGCGGCTGTATTCATCATTGTCAATGGCATCAATGTCATTAATACTGCTACTGACTTCTTTCCCATACACTCTCCTTACCCATATTTTCTGCTGCAAAACTTCTGTCCGGGACCTGATTGAAGAAACTGGAGATGATGCAGTGGACACTGAAAGCATGAGCACAGGGAGATATTCACAAGGGCCCCATTGCATAGTGCAAAATATTTACAAGACATTTCATTATAATGAGATACATTCACAGATAAACTACCAAATGTGATTTGACCTCAAAGAAGCACAAGAAATAGAAACAAGCACCTGACAACTTCTATCCCCTAGCCCAAAACATATACAATTTCCCGATGTGAGTCAGGCAAAACCAACTGAACAACAATTGAAATAGGAGGATATGCAATATTCCCAGGATGATGTCAAAGTCCATATTTAATTGCAGACCTATGCCAGTCTGCATCTTCCAGAGACGGGGTACGAGTAATGTGCACACAAAGATGTTCTAACAGTGGAAACCATGCTAGGACAGTCTTGTAAAAAGTCCGGGCATGAGCCAATGTAAAGACCTGTGGAGAAAAGTCCTAGTCAGAATGATTGCCATGACAAGGAGTAAAGAGAGGATACACACAGATGGAGGAAACACTGCCAGTGATAGGTAAAAATGTTGGATTGAAGTGACCATAGAAAGGAAGGATAAAGAACCAATCTCACTTGCTGCAAATTCTGAGTCTGTACCAAGGGTAAGTATTTCAACTGATCCAATATTCTTCAGACCACGGCAGAGGATGTGAAAAAGGGGCAATTCCCCTTTGACCTTGGTCAGGTTCAAGACACTGAGGGGCAAGTTGAATTTGGTGAAGACATCATAGCAGCCCACAACAGAGGCATGAAGCTCCTGTAAATTGGGTAGGAGTGTATGATCTTTAATGGAAGCCAGGTCCTCCGCCATGAGGAGACCCAGGTCATAGGACAATGATTTAATAGATAGGTGATGGTGAAGAAAACTAAGGATATTCCCAGGTAGTAAGGGACTAGTAGGATTTATCCCAGCCTGTGAGAGAATATCCAGGGCGCTTTGAGGCAGTGAGTGACTACCGAACCCAAAGTGCACAAGATTAGGGAGTTCGAGATCTTCAATCTCTGAGAATGTTAAGATCATGTACACCATGTAACTGTGCCAGAGGCCACAAGGTGTCTAAGAGCGGGAGGTCGAGTGGGACAGTAGTGAAGTTATTAACAACACCAGTGTTACGCCGTTAGTCCCAGGAGATCGAGAGTATAGAAGGGAGGAGCTAAGTGGCAGCCAAGTCGGAGCGGCGGTATCGCCGGTGACGACGAGCGAACCAAAGAACGTCTAAGTCCTAAGGTTATAGTAGAGAGTACTTCGAGGCGATGAGCCTAAAGACTTAGAGGAGCACAGAGTTAAGGAGGGAATCTAAGTCAATAATTAAACTGAGGAACTACAGTAGCGTACAGGCAGTATTTATATCTACGGAGCGGCGCATCGGTGCGGAGCGCTAGGCTAACTACTAGGAGCTATACGTGTAGTACCTGCAGGGTAAAGTAAAAGACAATAAGGAGGGACTAGAATAAAAGGGTATGTGTAGCGAGAAAGAACAATAAGGAGAGATTACAATAAAGGTGGATCTTTGGAATACCGAGCGGCGGAATGGAGCCCCAAGGCATGGACTTGACAGAGAAATACTCAATGCCTATTGGGTAAGATAAATAAGATGGAAAATCAAACACCAGGACCGAGATGGAAGCCAATCTTGTGATGAAATGCAAGAAATGAGTGCCAACCAATACACCTACTGACTCCAGATTATGAGATTAAAGTGCAGGATAAATGATAGCTTTGCCTACTGTTCTGTGGACCCGGGGATCTCCATTTTGCTACAAATGAGCGAGTCTCATGAGAAGAAAGCCACTGCTGTAAACAATCTTTGGATCAAAACCAAGAATAACACACAGCAAGGGATACAAACAAGTTGCAGCTTATCTGTATTTCTGGTGGGACACTTGAGGACAACATGCTTTATACTCAAGGAATTGGGTGTCCAGAACCCAAGTACATTAGACAGAGCCAATGTGTCTGAAGTATAGGAGAAAAGCTTCATCGAGTCACGGTGGGTATCGATGTTGAAGAGTGATGGTGTAAAATGTTGATGAACAACATCCAGGCGGGGACCAGAAGTAGAGACCCGCAGTTGGTCCACATAATAAGATGGGTGTTGGATTCCCAGTATTTTCTGAGTATCTGTCTCGGATTTGGACAGGGTCTGCAGTGCCATGGTGGGCACAGATGCATACAATTTTGGGAACACCATTTGGCCAAGAGATTTGTTTCCAATACCAAGGGAGTACAATGCTAGAGAATCATTATGAAGGTAGCTGATGATGTAAGCCTGGACTTCAACAGCAACCCTACAGAGAGAGGGAGCTTGTGGTGTACATATGGAAAGAAAATTTCCTGAGAATATCTTATTGATGGGACCAAAAGGAAATGAAGCGCCCATTTTTTTGGCTCAAATTCTAGCCAATTTAATTTTGCAGTTGCATATGTAATCAATTCTTGAGTTCTTCTTCATCCACCATGAGACAAGGGAGCACTCCCCATCTAGTCGGCATTCCGCCAGAAGTCCTTCAGATCATTCTCTCTTATCTTCAGTATGATTCCAAAAACCTGTTTAGGTTAGCTATGTTGTCTAGATAGCTGGCAGAGGCGTCTCAACCTTTGGCCTCATCACACTTGCATCCACCACAAGTATTACACAGACAATCCTCAGAAAGCATCCAGCTAGCTTTGTAAAGAACTCACAGTCTCTACTGAAAAATCCTCCCAACTTGTGCAGCACTACCTTCAGCCTGCTCTATGTCATATCCAAAACTACATCAAAATCCTTCATACTTTCTCCTACTTGTCTCTAGATATTGCTTTGGAAAGCATCTTGAACCCAATAGAGCTTCCCTTCCTTACAACCAAACATTTGTTCATCTGTTGTCCGTGGTTATCACAGGCAAGCACCCATCTGTACCTCTCCCTATACTGTAGTAATTACAGCTGTTGCCAGTTTTTACTCTGCTCAGGTGCCACTACCCATATGGAAATCAATTTGACAGACACCATTAAATGGAGTGAGTCAAATGGAACCTCCCTCATGGTATTACTAATAAGACAACCAACCAGTTAGCAACGAGGGCTTCGCACAACTACTGCATAGTTTGCACACCACTTGTCCCTCCCTATTTTTTCTCCGAATTTTTGCACCCAAGCCACTCGATTCACATGACCACCTTCAGCAATTGCTAGATACCCCGACAATCTGTTATCACTCCCTCACCAACTTTGGGTGCAATGGGATCTTTGTGAAACTTTCAATGATTCAATTTCTCCAACACTACCCAGAAATACATGTCCTAGCCTACCCACTTATACACCTTGAAGAAGAGTATCATCAGGCCATGGAGGATCGCATATTCCTCCCCAAGCTTGATGAGTTCCACAGTGACGCCTGCAATTCAGATTTTGTCATTGGTGTCTATAAACATGCCGTCAAGACATTGTGTGTCCAGACTTCGAAAAGAGGCAGTAGTGGATACTTCCTCAGAAGCCTTGCCTATGCTATGGAGGAGCACCAGTCTGTCAAGGCCTTGACACTTGGGGATGAGGAACGTGCCATTCCCATTGATGCAGCTCATGATTTTTCTCGTGGCGCACCAAATCTGACGAACCTCACTCTGTGTTTACAAGGTAGAGAGGCACCAGTACAGGTATCTGTTCCTCTGTACAAATCCTCGATATATTGTCTCACATCCAAACCCACCCTATAGCTCAACACAGTCACCTGGGAAGCTGATTTCTATAGCATCCTGTTTCAAAGCTATCAGGAACTTACCACCCTCACCCTGCTCATCCCTTGTGAGCCAAACCACCATGTTGCCCACAATCACAGTACTGCAATCAAATCTGCCATTTTGAAGGAGCGCTCTAATCACTCAGCCTCCCTTACAATTACACTACTTTCCCAAAACCGTAAAGAGCCTATTCTTTTTTTTGCATTCGATGGACTTGTTTTTTCATGTGATTACCTATCTGCTGAGCCTCTCCTGTTAACCAAGTAACATTGAACTTGCACACATTTGCACCACAGTCACTTTGCTTGCTATTGTAAGACCTGGGTCAAAATAGGTCTTAGGGTAGGTTTGGTATATGAAGTTTTATGTTGTAGCGTGCTAGGAGCAGGCTGGAGCTCGAAGGGAGCTACGAGAACCGCGACCGAGGACGGGAATGGCCTAGTAGTGCCTGGAACGACGAAATGATGACCCTTGAGGGGGTTCCTAGGAGGTCCAGGGAGGTCCCTAAGGCGTAGGGAGGTTAAGGAAGGGTGCAGGACCGTACGGTATTGTGTAGTAGGAGTTGTACTCGCTAGAACGTCAATATAGGATCGAGTAGGTCGTATATGCAACTGGGTCTCGAGAGTGTAAGCTCCCGAGAAGGGATATGCCAGGGAGGGTAGGTCCCTGGGGGCGGGGATTGAGGATGGACGTCCTCGAGTGTGGGAGGTGGTAACGGAGAAGCAATACGTAGTTCGACGTGAGGGGTAGCTTCGACGTTACCTAGATCGAGGTCCCGAAGCTTACGAAGTAGCTAGGGAGCTCTGGGAGGTTTGGGGAAGGGTAGCTCACCAAAGCGGGTAGGCGTTGGGGAGCTTTAGTAATGTTCGAGGGAGCTCGGAGACTCACTCGGAAGGCTTAGACTTGAAGTGAAAGCGTATATTCGATCGTATAGACGATCAGAGAGACAGTAGACAGAAGTAGAGAGAAACAGAGGTAGAGAAACAGAGAGTAAAGAGAAATCCGTATGGTTAGCAGGTACAAAGGGACAGGGACTGGACCTATGCAAAAGGGTGTGTGTTCAAAATATACCAAGCTGGGGCTTCAGGACATTGCGGAGCTACTTAAATAGGTACGGGAAGTGAACAAGGGAACATCAGAACCTAGGGAGCATGAGGCAGATAATCGAGAGAGACAGGCGATCGAGATTGGTACTTAATGGGGCTGGTGTCAGAGGGCTTCATACGCGTGTCGGAATGGTTGTCCGGACGTTTTCAGGGGGTGGTGGTACTGTCTTGGGGAGGTGCGTACTGCCTCAGGGATGTCCTGGGGAGGTGCAAGGAGAGTTGGGAATGTGAGAACGTGTGGGCTGATGCTGGGGCTGGTCTGGTTATGGTCAGGGCATGACAGCTATTGCTACCTTTCTGTTTGCACCCGCCATGACCACAGTCATTGCCACTGTTATTTCCAACCAATTATATATTTCTACATGCCGCCTACTACTGCCACCTTTCCGTTACCACCTACTATGACCACAATCATTATCACTCCGGCCTGCAGTAGCAATTGCGTACAAGATTTGGACATCCTACGCCAGTGTCTGCTGCCGTGGACCAGAGATATTTGCAGGTGGAAGGTGTGGTGTCGATGTCTAGAATTTGGGGACTGGATGTTAGTGGAAGTGGAATCACAGAATAATTACAATTGGTCAGATATTCTGAGTGCTTTATGGAAGCCATTGTCACTCTCTCATTTCTTACTGCAGTATGCCTGGACTTTTCAAGCATGGCAGGTGATCTATGGCTGTGCAAAAGCACTAAAGCTCAGAATTCTGAGCTTAGGCGCCGGATTTGATCAGTGGCTGTGTTATTAAAGCGGAAATTGAAAAAAACAGCTGACTCGTGGCTGTTGGATGTAGGTGGATTTTGTGGCATCTTCTCCTTCTTTGGTATAGAGACATGTACTCTTCGAGAGCATCTTTGCGGTCTTATATTACATCCGACGATGTAGACACTACAAGGAGTTGGAGAATTATACCTGTACTCGAAGCAGAGTGAGTTCTTCATCTCATCCTTATTTTCCGTATCTAACCATCTCAACCTATCTAAATCATCCAACTCACCCTCACTCCCTTCTAGAGACCTCCCCCAAGAATTCTTCGGCTCTGAACTCTTACAAGCTATTGGCTTTGTCTACCTCTCGCTTGCACGCTTACAATGTCAATGATCTTCCATACTACAATTGGTGCAACGTCCCGAACAATCTCTCAAGCCATGGCACCCGCTGCGATCATCATGCTCAGTCTTATCATCTACACAGGTTTTAATATCCCACATCAATCCTATTGCATATGCATTCGAAAGCCTCATGCTGAACAAATTCTTCGGACACGAGTTCCCCTGTATCACTTTCATACCAAATGGACCGGGGTACGCCGATATCACTGGTCCCGAGCATATTTGTGCTACAACAGGAGCAGAGGCAGGTTCCAATGTCGTCGGAGGCGCATCGTATCTTGTTGCCAGTTTCAATTACTATCATTCGCACATGTGGAGGTAAAGTCGAATGCAATCTAACCTTTGACCATCGGAATTCATGCTTTCACCAGGAATCTGGACATCATTTTCGTGTTCATGGTGTTCTTCTTGGCCACTGCCCTTGTTGCAACGGAATACATCACGGCTGCAAAGAGCAAAGGGGAAGTCCTAGTGTTCCGTCGTGGTCATATACCTGTACAGGAATCCAAATCTTCTGACGACGAAGAATCTGCTCAACCTGTACAGCAATTGGTCGTTGATGTTGAGGAGAAGGTGAAGAGGGACGGCGCGGTCTCTGGGCTTCAAAAGCAAACCTCGATATTCCATTGGGAAGATGTTTGCTACCATATCAACATCAAAGGTGAAGGACGACGTCTTTTGGATAATGTAGATGGATGGGTTGAGCCAGGGACTTTGACCGCGCTAATGGTAAAATTTTCTTTGTGCTTTAATGTCACATTCTTACTCATTTCTCTACTCTAGGGGGCGTCAGGTGCTGGGAGGACTACGCTTCTGGACACTCTGGCCAGTCGAGTGACGATGGATGTAGTTACCGGAAACATGTTCGTTGATGGACAACAGCGAGACAAATCGTTTCAACGGAAGACGGGATACGTACAACAGCAGGACTTGCATCTTCAGACTTCAACAGTTCGCGAGGCCCTTATCTTCAGTGCATGTCTCAGACAACCACAAGATGTCCCAGATGCTGAAAAGGTCGCTTATTGTTCTGAAGTCATCCGTCTGCTAGGTATGGAAAAGTATGCTGATGCCGTCATCGGTGTCCCTGGTGAAGGTGCGTGCAGCGGCTCCGAAATAGTTGAAAGCTTCTTTTATTCCTAGACGAACCCACATCAGGTCTTGACAGTCAAATGGCATGGTCTATCTGTACACTACTCCGGGACTGGGCTAACAATGGTCAAGCAATTCTATGTACCATCCACCAACCCTCGGCCCTTCTCTTTCAAGAATTTGACCGCCTCTTGTTCTTAGCTTGAGGTGGCCACACTGCGGAATGAAGTCATTGGTGCTGTTCCAGGTGCAGTCGCTGACCGAGATTATATTGGCGACAAAGCAACGATTATATCGCCATGAAGAAAGAGCTCTCCAAAAAACAGGAGCTTTCTCAGTCCCGTCCCCAACCGAGTGCCCAGGAAAAATGCAAATTCAAAGATTACAGCACATTTTCTGCGTCGTTCCGAAAACCGTTTCAGCTTTGCTTGTATAGGGTTTTCCAACAGCTGTATTGCACACCCAGTTATATCTTGGATGAGATCAGCCTAACTAGTGTCCGCGATTTGGCGTACGCCAGCAAAAGTTGTTCTTATCCGGGTCCATGGGAATGATTGGGTATTGCTGATCTAATAATGGCACCACGGAGGCTACGAGCCGTTCGAACCCGGCACGGTTTCTTTTCCACACCACCACCATCCTCCCATCGCACCTGTTCTCCCTCAACCAATTAACTGCCAGCTCTTCATGCACCGCCTACCTGGAGTTCCCCATTTCAATCAAGCCAACCAAACCGCTACCGAGGCAGGCTGTTGACGGTCCTCGTCGCCGTCGTCTCCGATGACGACGCAGCAGATATATCCTATAGAACATATGCTTTACCGCCGCGCTGAACATCGTTCATCAACGTCAAGTAGTGGCCCTTAGGCAAGTGGACGATGATTTGGAACGCAAGAATGTACATATCACGATGCATAGGGTATATCAGTAACAGCAACACCGGACGACCCTCGCAACAAAACACCACGACAACGAAAACCCTCTGACCCACACGCCTCCGAGCACTTCCAATCCCACATCTATCGCCTAGCGGTCTCTCTGTGCCCGCCCTCCACTCAAAGTACAACGAATTTGGGACCAGGGAAAGCGCCACAGAGAGCGTATTCTTTGACCCGGACAAAGCATTTGGGAAGATCCTTGGTGGGGAGAGGTTCGTGGGTGTTATAGGACGTATTGGTTTGGCGAGGCGGCGTTGCAGGAGGCTGAGGTGAAGCCAGAGAGGGAGGAAGGAAAGGGAAGCCTGCGATTAGTGTGGAGGAAAAAGCAAAGAAGGAGGAGAGGAACCGGAAGTGCAGAGGTTCGTGTTCTCTCATTCATTTCATATCATACAGTAATCTTTCTTTGTTTGTCTTGTGAACAGAAAGCCGCAGCATGTACCGAACGAGTAACCCAACTCTCCGCCAACCTCAAACGCAAACTCGGGACATTTACCGAAAGCGCAACTCGGAGAATGTAGACGTTACAAGGAGTAGGAGAATTATATGTGTACTTGAAGCGTAGTGAGGCCTCCGTGTCATCCTTGTTTTCCGTATCTAAACCGTCTCAGCCTATCCCTGCTAGAGACCTCTCCCAGTCTACCGTCCTGAACTATTACAAGCCATTGCCTCTCCAAAGCGAACCCATTCCTCGCAATCGACTAATCCTCCCTCGGTCTCGGTGGCTGGCTACATAATGTACAAGGCAAATATCAGGTTTTAATGAAATGTACGTTCTCTTTTTCCTTGCTTCCTCCCTTATCCCTCTCGTATCTTATATATAATTGTTGATTGACATTTCCACAGCATGCATATCCACCCTCCGTGCCACCTTTAACCTCAAATCCATATGAAGCCTCTCACCTGCCGAGCGTCAGAAACTCACTCGAAGAACAGCCTGCGGGGAAAGGGCTACAGGCATTGTTCAAGGGTGGGGAGTTAGCGGTTGAGTTGGCATTGAGGGAGGTGTGTGATAGCATTGAGGGAGGTGTGTGATAGGGTTTTGGAGGAAGGGGAATCAATTGTTGGGAGGAAAGTGTCTTCCGTTGGGTGAGGCATATGTGTGTGTTGGGACGAGGAAAGGAGGTGGTGGTATTGCGACACCAGGTGATTCAGGCATAATCCATCATCTGCGAGGCTCTCGGATGAATTTGCCTACTCCAAGAACCTCTGGTACCCCAGATCCAAATTCATCTCATCACAGTACCACCAACAGTAGCAGTGGTCTTGGAGGAATCGGTACTGGGTTGGGTAATAGAGATATCGGTTCAGGGTTGGGTGGGATGGTTGGGTTTAGATTAAAATATTAATAGCTAACCCTTGTTGGAATGTGCTGTGGGTGGATATACAGCCCAAAATCTTGCACAATTTGCAATGCACAGGGAAAGAATAATGAGTTGTGCCTTTAAACTTGTGCAAAAACTCACTGCACAATGTGGCCGGACTTTTCAAGCATGACATGTGATCTGTGGCTGTGCAAAAAGCGCTAAAGCTCAGAATTCTGAGCTTTAGCGCCGAATTTATGCACCTGACTAGTGGCTGTGCCATTAGAGCGGAAATCCACAGATGTTACATAACCCACAACAGCTTTCTTTCCCTCTCCCTCATGTCACTCACAGTCCCCTCAGGGATTAGTGATGAAGACAAGGCATTCTCTCTATTCTTCTCAAATGTAGTTACAAATGCAAAGGAGGATGATCAAAGCTTACAAGTGTGCCAGGACTTCTGTGTCCCATTTGAATTCATTCTCACCCAGATATTCAGCCTTTTGCAACAGCTATATATACTGAACTCCAATCAAGACATGATAGTAAAATCTGGACAAGATTCCTGAAAGATCCATGGTCTGCAAGCACCTTCACGGAACAGCAATGGCTGTTCATATGCCACCCACTGTTTCATATCAATCTCTTGCACCTCCTGAGAGATGAGCAGCATAAGCTCCTCAGCTTGGGAACAGAAGGGCATAAATTAGCCCAAGTACCTCCCAGTGGAGTTGATAAATCTGTAAGTGGCACAGAATACTTTATGACCTACTCCATAATGCTTTATTCCCCAAGTTTCGTCCTCTTACTCAAGGGGCTGGATGGAGAAGCATGCTTCAAAAAGCTAATTCTGCCCTTCAAAAAAACCAAGAACGCCAGCTGGATTCATCACACCAATCTTCGGATCCTTTCCTCCAAACACTAAATGATCTGTCTATGCTGTTTGAACAACGAGCATATTCCAATGTTGCCATCAACATTAGTCTAGTAGTTATATACGTAGGACTTTGCAGACATGTGCAGTATTATTCATGCCTTGGGAAATCCAGTTACTAACACAGTTCTTACATGTAGGGAATCCTCAGTTTCCCGAATGACTTCAAAGAGTTTTCAGAGAAACTCACTCAAGTCTTTGCAGGGTTTGCATTTTTTGACCTAATGTTCTCAAAGGTTGACTTCAACACACTGTAGGTCTGCTCAAGGGATTGTGGATACACTTCAACGCTTGGAGCCTTACTATAATGCTCAGAGATGGCTCCATCCTGCCCATGCCTGCTTTTCCATTTCACCTCTTTATTGTTTCAAAACTTCAGCACTTTTTAAAGACAGTCCAAAGCGGATTCACTTCTGGGAGGTAAATTGGAGAATTTATTCTTCCTTCCCCCATTAATTGCTAAGTATTTTAGGTTGCCAAAGCACTAGGCCCCTGCAGACCAGACACACTTGTTGATCTGGAGAGAAAGTGGATGAAATTATTAATTGAAGCAGCTGACAGCAAGAAAACTGCCTTGAATATATTTAAAGAGTTTATGGGCAGTCATGCTCAATCATTTGAGCAGATAAGTAACAAAGATCTCAAGTTTTTCTTCATTTGTGATTATCTTCCCAATCTGAAACCAAAAATTGCCTCTAACTAGTCATCATCAGACCCATCACTATCAGCATCTCAAGGTTTGACCCAAGCAATAAATATTGGGATAGGTGAGCCTTCTACACATTGAAAGATTATTATGCTTATCCCTATATCAAGAATCAACTGCACCATACATGACTCAAGGTATGAGCACTTTCCCATAGCCCAACCTCCTCAAAACCCTTACTCATCCACCTCAGCTGCCAACAATCTCCAAGAAACCCACAAAAAGCAGCGACTGAGTGAGCTGTATACTTTTTCTTTGCTACCTAAATGCTAACTGAACCCCGGGTTGACCAGAACCCGATACTAGAAGTAAAATCTATTGTCTCAATGCAATTGCGCTAGATGCTAATGCCCAACCCCACGTAGCTCTCAACAAAAACATGGAACATGAAGGTACTTACCGCTTGTCCAGTTATTGCATATCATCCAATTCGAAATTCTTAGTTGATGAGTCCACTGGAGCTCAGGGGAACAGCTCACAGATAGAAGAAGTCGATGAAGACCAGGAAGGTATGTATTATCTCTGAGTACCCCAGAACCGTGTTTAGTCAGTTAATATACTAGACCCAGTAGAGGAAAACAACAAGGTTGCAGAGGACTCGCAGATGGATGAAGGAGAAGATGAGCAGGATGGTATGTATTATCTCCAAGTACCCCAAAACCGTGTTTAGACGAGTTAATATACTAGACCCAGCAAACGGAGATGACAAGGTTGCAGAGGACTCACAGATGGATGAAGGAGAAGATGAGCAGGACGGTATGTATTATCTTTCAGTACTCCAGAACCATGTTTGGTTGATCTAATATGATAGACACAGCTATGGAAGTTGACGAGGAAGCCGAGGAGTCACAGACCGGAGACTCTGCTAGTGGTATACATCAAGGTAATTATGACCTATGTGAATAGAGCCTAATTTATTCATTTCAGAAATAGATGACATGTCTATAGACGATCGGTACCCAGCTGTCATGCCTCGACCATTATCTACAGCCCTCTTAATGGTGACGACCAGGACAGCCCCAGTATCAGCCATACACTCTCACCCCTCTGCACCGGTCCATGCCCGTACCTCCCCAAGAATCGATCCACGCCTGTACCTACCCAAGACAGCTCCTAAACCTCCCCCGACACGCGTTTGAAGCCCTCCTACACCTACCCCATTAAGATACTAATCTCGATTACACGCCTCATGGCCCCTGATGTTCCCTTGTTCACTTCCTGTACCTATTTAAGTAGCTCTGATACGTCCCCAAGCCCCAGCTTGGTATATTTTGAACACACACCCTTTTGCATAGGTCCAGTCCCTGTTCCTTTGTACCTGATAACCATACGGATTTCTCTTTACTCTCTGTTTCACTACCTCTGTTTCTCCTTACTCTTGTCCATTGTCTCTCTGATCGCCTATACGATCGAATATACACTTTTACTTCAAGTCTAAGCCTTCCGAGTGAGTCCCCAAGCTCCCTCGAACATTACTAAAGCTCCCCAACGCCTACACGCTTTGGTGAGCTACCCTTCCCCAAACCTCCAGAGCTCCCTAGCTACTTCGTAAGCTTCGGGACCTCGATCTAGGTAACGTCGAAGCTACCCCTCACGTTGAACTACGTACCGCTTCTCTGTTACCACCTCCCCCACTCGAGGACGTCCATCCTCAAGCCCAGCACCCAGGGACCTACCCTCCCTGGCATATCCCTTCTCGGGAGCTTATACCCTCGAGATCCAGTTACATATATGACCTACTCGATCCTATATTGACGTTCTAGCGAGTACAACTCCTACTACACAACATCGTACGGTCCCGCACTCTTCCATAACCTCCCTACGCCTTAGGGACCTCCCTGGACCTCCTAGGAACCCCCTCAAGGGTCATCATCTTGTCGTTCCAGCCACTACTAGGTCATTTCCGTCCTCGGTCATGGTTCTCGTAGCTCCCTTCGAGCTCCAGCCTGCTCTTAGCACGCTACAACATAAACCTCCATATACCAAAACCTACCCTAAGACCTATTTTGACCCAGGTCTTACACCAGCACAACGAGGTAATAGTAATATTTCATCTCATGGAAACCTACTGATAGACAAAATTGGTTCAGAAACTGAGCCAACGTCTGACAAAGGCATGTAATGTATCTAATCTTGACAACATCAACCTAATTGTTAAACCAGGCAAGGGAAAGAGAAAGAATCCTGAACCCGAAGAAGACATTGTAGATCCCAGGAGGTCAACTAGGCTTTCAAACCTACCTCCCCCCAATTACCCCCCAGAAAAGGAGAGCAGGAAACGTCCCAAACCAGTACACCAAAAGCATAAACAATCACCACTCAGGTGTCCAGACCGCTTCCGAACCCCATAAGTCACAGGTTGGGGATAAGGAAGTACATCTTCTAGGGCAAATACAGCAACCCACACTGGGCAATATGGACAAAAAGTTTTCTCCTTTCACGGACCGTAAGGTAACTGTCAAGCTCCTCATTTTTTGACTTCTACACTCAATCTATTCAGCTTCTGCATAGTGAAGAGCTCGTTTTCCCTGACCATCTTTTCAAAAATACACTCAAAATGAAATACAAGGCATACGTGAATTTTTTCCTTGCTTTTTTTGTCATCCCCATAATTCAACCAATTGTTGTAAGGATACCCTCCCTTTCCAGGACATCATGAACGTCTTGAAGATGATCAAGAGCACTGCAGATTCAGATGGTCGCGCTGTCCAACAGGCACCCACCCGGAGGTTTCCCATACATGAGGTTCAGGCTAAAGAATGGAACTCTTCACACCTGTATCTGGAATCAAGGAAGCAATATCTCCTTCACCAGAACCATATCCTCATCAGGAACTGCGAGCCTCCTGATCAAAGTGAATTAGGATTCAATGACTCTACATTTGCAGAGCACATTGGTGACCTTAATGAAATGCGCACTCTTCATGGTATGTTTTGAAACACCAAGTGTAGTTGAATTCAAATGACATAATCATTAGATTCCTCTGTCGTCCCAGACCGCACACAGGCTGGCGAAATTGAACCTAGTCTGGCTCATATGCCTGGAACCTTTGTTGACATTATACAAGCTGCTGCAACACCGAATGGAAAAATTCTCAACTGTCTAGACATCCCTCTATCCCCAGATGTATTTCCCCCTCCACGCGGAATAGCAACTGACAGCGTTGCAGGTCAGTTTCTCAAAAAGTCGTTCTACTACTGTAAGCGCTGGGCTCTCGCAGCAACCTCATTCGCTGTTCATACTTCCCACGTCGATGTGTCTGGATTTCTCACCTATGTCCGGGTATTGAGCTCGTAAGACAAAGTACCAGGTCGACTTATGACCTTGAAAGGACCAAGATATTTTTCAGAGAATTTTTCAGTAGGACGGGTAGAGCGAATGTGCTTAGCAAGAACAAATACTTCGGAGCCGATCGGGAACTCCGGATGCGAGATTCTTTTCCTGTCAGCTTGTTCCTTGTAACGAGATTGAGCTAAAAGGATTTCCTCTCGAAGGAAAGCGTGGAGTTCATCAAGGTTGACGACGAAGTCTCTAGCCAGATCAGACTTCATGTCGACCTCGGGCCGAACGGTGATGTTTGGGTGGTATCCTTTGTTAGCGAAGAATGGAGTAATACCTGTGGAAGCGTTGGGAGCGTTGTTATAGGCGAATTCGGCGATCGGGAGTAAAGGCGACCAGTCATCTTGTTGGTAGGAACAATAGATCCTGATGTACTGCTCGAGAGTCTGATTGACACGCTCAGTTTGCCCATCGGCTTCCGGATGATATCCAGAGGTATAATGAAGTTCCATAGAGAGCGCTTTACCGAGAGCCCGGAAGAACGCCGAAACAAATTCGGAACCACGATCGGAAGTAACATGATTAGGGACACCATGCTTAGAGAAGACGTGAATAACAAAAAGCTCAGCTAGTTGTTCGGAAGTAATGGTGTCGTGAGTTGGAATAAATATAGCTTGTTTGGAAGATCGATCCACAACGACTAGTATAGCTGTATAGCCATTCGACATTGGCAGTTGCTCAATGAAGTCCATGGAGATGGAATCCCATGGTCGAACCGGAACCGGCAGAGGTTTCAACAAGCCGTAAGGCCGATGACGGCGGGGCTTATTGCGACCACAGATAGTGCAAGAGGTAACGTAGTCACGAACAAAGTCTCTGACCTTGGGCCAGGTGTATTGACGACGTACAGCTTCGAGAGTGCGGTTCTGGCCGAAATGGCCGGAAAGTGGATGATCATGGAAGTAGCGGAGGACTTGAAGGCGAAGATCGCCGTGATTAGGAACATAAATACGGTCGTCAAGGCATAGTAGCTTGTCACTACCTAAGCTCCAACGTTTATTGGAAGGATCTTTTGCAAGTTCCAAACCAACAACGGAGCTCGGATCGGCGGGAAGGGCGAGAATGATAGCTTGGTGTAGAGCTTCGATATCCATGATAATCGAGGCTCGTAAAACCGGGCCTTCCAAGAAGGTAGCTCGAAGAGACGCAGTGAGTTGTTCGTTAGTAAAGATAGGACGGAAGTTGTGAGGGTTCACTTGGGCGTAGCCGATATCCCCCTCTTTAGGGTAGACGTCCCAGCGTCTAGTTATCGAGTCGGGTTTCTCGCCGAGTTTCCCCGGCCGGAAGCGAATGACCATATTAAATTGGTGTAAAAATTCTGACCATTGGACCTGTCGGCGGGTGAGAACCTTGGTAGTAGAAAAATACTCAAGATTTTTGTGATCGGTGACGACGTCCACCGGATCACCCGAGCCTTCCAGATAATGACGCCAAGCTTTAAAGGCCTCGAAGATGGCCAGTAGCTCTTTGTCGTGGGTATCGTAATTGAGTTCAGCCGCATGAAGCGTTCTGGAAAGGAAGGCTAGAGGATGAATTTCACCGTCAGCATATTGGATGGAAAGAATAGCCGCAATGGCATAATCGGAAGCGTCGGTTTCCACGATAAGTGGGCGATTTGGCTCCCAATGGGCCAGTATCGGCGCAGAAGTGAAAGCAGTCTTGAGATTTTCGAAGGCCTCTTGACAGCTGCTGTCCCAGATCCAGGAAGCGCCTTTTCGGGTAAGCCGAGTCATCGGCACAACGATATCACTATAGTTATAAATAAAACGACGATAGAAGTTTGCAAAACCCAAGAAGGACTGAATGTCCTTAACCTTCCTCGGAACCGGCCACTCTAGAACTGTCTGAACTTTCTCCTTGGACATAGTCAATCCGTCGGGAGAAAGAATATAACCCAAATACTCAACAGTATCCATATTGAATTCGCACTTGTCGGGGTTGGCGTAAAGCCGATGTTTCCGTAACCGCCGAAGAACCTCCTTAACGTGTTCTCGGTGTTCTTCTGGCGTATCAGAGTAGATTAGAATATCGTCAAGATAGACAATAACACAGACATCGAGCATGTCAGAGAAGATGTCATTAACAAACCGCTGGAAAGCCGCAGGGGCGTTCGTAAGGCCGAACGGCATGACCTTCCATTCGTAAGAGCCGTAGCGGGTCCGAAAGGTGGTTTTCCATTCATCGCCTTCAGCGATTCTGACTAGATGATAAGCGTGAGCGAGATCCAATTTGGTGTATATTTTAGCTCTTTTCGGAGTGTCGAGAAGATCTGAAATGAGTGGGAGTGGGTAACGATCCTTTTTGGTGATACGATTGAGTCCACGGAAATCGACGCAAAGGCGAAGTTTGCCGTCTTTCTTCGGGACAAAAAGGACCGGAGCGCCGTGAGGAGAGGATGATGGGGTGATGGCACCAGTAGCCAGCTGTTTGTCAATAAAGTCTTTAAGGGCGACTAGCTCCTTTTCAGACAAAGGATAAATACGGCCGAGAGGCGGCGAAGCGCCTTCTTCCAAGTCAATCTTCAGGTCGTAAGGTCTATGTTCAGGAAGTGAATCTGCAGCAATCTCGTCGAAGACGTCTGCAAACTCCGCGTACTCTTCTGGGATAGAAGGATGGAGTGGAGGGACAGTAGGAGTGGTGGAAGAGCGGTCGGCGGCGCGGGCCGCGACCTCTGAGTGGATAGCATGAAGTAGAATCGGTTCCATACCAGCGTCCTTGCAAGCCCTGTTAAAGACTGCAGCACTGACGAGTGCAATGTCGACCTCGGGAGTTTCCAGTTGAGCAGCGAATTGAGAGACCGTAGGGTAAGAATAGATGGGTTCAAAAGGAAATTTGGACGAAAGGGGCTTGGCCCGTAAAGTCCCAGAGCGGGAGCGAGAGCGAGAGCGAGGTGAGTCCCCAGGAGGGGTCTCCAGAATTGTCGGTGAAACTGACGGCGAAAGTTCCGGTAGCGGAACAGCGACCTTTGCAACAACGGGGTTGATAGCAGAAGGCACAGACGTCTGTGGAGAATCAAAATGTGAAGTGTTACGGAACGTAATGTTTCAAGATGCCCAGTCAATCAACGGATTGTAGCGGGATAAGAAACTGTAACCTAATACTGCTTTACAAGATGAATCTAAATGTGTAACATAAAAGGGTAAGAGAAGCAGCTCGCCGGAAGGGAACCGAACGGCGATATTCGCCATATCGGTAATGGGTTTAGAAGATAATGAACCATCAAAGAGACGAAGATTAACAGGAGAGATTTTGGTCGTAGGAATGGAATTTTGATAAACATAACGAGTATCGATGAAAGAGTCAGTAGAACCAGAATCAACAAGAGTAGGAAATTTGAGAAGAGCAGAAATGGGTTCGGCCGGCGCGGCCGAATCGGACAAAGGAAATTCAGTAGTCAAAGATATTACAAGAGATCGTTCAATGGAAGAAAGAGCGGACGCGTTGAGATATAACTCCCCAGGTGAGGTACGAACCTGATCAACGCAGCTCCCGTTTCGTACCGGGGAACAAGAGCTGCGGATTAGTTTTCCGAATCCTCTTCAACAACCTCAATGGTTGCTTCGGGGGTTTCTTCAACCTCGGCAGCGCGGCCCTTCGATTCCCGGGCCTTTCGCTTGTTGCAGTCGGCAATCTGATGCTTACCACCGCAGAAGAGACAAAGGTTGTTCTTCATCCTTCTTTCCCGTTCGGAGGGAAGTACTTTACCATCTGCTCCTAGATGGTTGAACGCGGGGCGCTGACCGCCAGATTGGCCGGAATTCGAAGAGTTCTGGGGCTTACCATTGTTGTTAGGCTTACCACCAGAGAAGGGTTTAGGTTTCGGCGTGAGCGGCGCCGAAGAGCCCGAAGGCTGAGAATTGTTTTGCTGGTTAGTAGAACCAGTCTTGAAGTCCGAGGAACCCTTCTTCGGGTTCCGAGCAATAAAAGGCTTGCCAGCCTCACGCTTCTTGGTTTCTTCGCGCTTCCAATAACGATTGTCAATACGAAGAACTTCTAGACGATAAGCGGCGAGCGTCGCCGGTTCGGGCAACCGCGCCATTTCGTCCTTAATGCGTTCGGCCAAGCCTCGTCCATAAGCCCATTTCAGGGCAGCAGAATCCCAGTTGGTACTAGCAGCCAGGGTGTTGAACCGGATGTTGTACTTCCGGATGTTCTCGGTTTCCTTCATCTTAAGGTTACCAAGGGCGTCCTCGGCCTCGCCTTGGGCGTCGTAAACGCCGAAATTGTCCTGTAGCTCCTTTACAAGGGCCGTGAAGGACGACGTCCAGGCCGGCAGCGAGTCGAGATCCGGATCGAGGATATCAGGGACAAACCATTCTTTGGCTGACCCACTGAGATAAGAGAGAGTGTAGTTCACCTTCCGTTGGTCGGTGAAGTACTTGGGACGGTCATTGAAGACCAGGGCGAGATTGACGAAGAATGTTTTGAGTTTTCGGGGGTCCGAACCGTCGAATACCTCGGGCTCCTTGACCTTGCTCTTGGATTCAGAGCTGTCAGAGGGACGGCCGAGTGCGGCGAGAACGGAACCGAGGGTTTCCATAGAAACCTTAAACCCCGAGAGGAGATCCAACATAGCACGTTGCTCGTTGGGGATGTCAGGAGAGTTGGAGGAACGAGGTCCACCAGGTCCACCAGGACCACCAGGTCCGCCGGGACCGCCGGGACCGCCAGGTCCACTGGGGTCATCGGGCTCACCACGCGGTAAACCGCCGGAATCGTCATCCAGGTCGTCATGATTGTTGTCGGCGCCCGGGTCATCGGGGTCGACAGGAGGGTCTTGATCATCGTGATCACCGGTATCCAAATTGAAGTGAGGAGGTGGGTCACGAGGAGATTCAGAAGCAGCACGACGTTGGGGTTGTTTTCCCGTACGGCGAGCGATGGCTTGGAGGATTGGAGAGTCAATTCGAGTAGTAGAGCGGCCCCGAGCCGGAGCGACCACGGGGGGTTGTCCCCGGCGAGGGGTCAGGACTTGGACAGGTTGTCCGTCACTAGTGAATAAAGTACTGTACTCAAATTGCTGTTCTTCCTCCATGGCTTCAGGAAGAGTTGACGTAGTTGGAACTGTGGCTGGACCGAAACCGCGATTACGGCGACGTGGTTGACCAATTGCAGAGATAGAGTCAGAGAAAGGGGCGAAAGATTGGGCTGTAGTGAAGAAAGTATTTTCTTCGGAGTTAGCTCTAGATTGAGCTCGAGTTTTCAGAGGCATAAAAATGATATGTCAGTACGACGTTAACGGATTGAGTTTAATTATGATGTTAAGATTATGTACACCATGAAGCCGTGCCAGAGCCACAGGGTGTCTAAGTGCGGAAGACGAGTGGGACAGTAGTGAAGTTATTAACAACACCGCCGTTACGCCGTTAGTCCCCGGAGATCGAGAGTAGAGAAGGGAGGAACTGAGAAGCAGCCAAGTCGGAGCGGCGGTATCGCCGGTGACGAGGAGCGAGCCAGAGGACGTCTAGTCCTAAGGTAGCACAGAGAGTACTTCAAGGCGTTGAGCCTGAAGACTTAGAGAGCACAGAGTGAAAGAGGGAATCTAAGTCGGTCTAAGTCGATAATTAAACTGAGGAACTACAGTAGCGTACAGACAGTATTTATATCTACGGAACGGCGCATCGGTGCGGAGCGCTAGACTAACTACTAGGAGCTATACGAGTAGTACCTGCAGGGTAGAGTAAAAGACAATAAGGAGAGACTAGAACGAAAGAGTAAAAGACAATAATGAGAGACTAGAACGAAAGGATATGTGTAGCGAGAAAGAACAATAGGAGAGAGATTACAATAAAGAGCAGATCTTCGGAGTACCGAGCGGCGGAATGGAGGCCCGCGGCATGGACTTGACACTCTCATGTCATCCCTCATCTTCCCAATTTCAGCATACTGGAGGATATTGTTGGTTTCTTTATGCTTCACAACATTGCCCTTCTTGGTTCTGTCCTGGATTATCGCCTATACTCTGAATATGAAGCAGGAACCCAAGACGTTACAGAATCCATCTCCCCTCACCAGCATGATAGTTATATACAGGCTAAAGCAGATGCGTTGGTCATTGCAGAATGGGTTTATTCCCACTTTGACATCAGTTTGACTGGAAAGACTACAGGAGGCGCAGGACTTCGGAGTTTGATGGAGGATTGGGTGGTCACTCAATGCAAGGCCCTGATACTGCACAAGCTCAATGCTGACAGCCAAATGGTGAAAGGAGAGACTGAGGCAATCACCCCGAATCGGTTGAGGAAGGCGATTGAGAAGCAGATGGCGGGCCTGCCATGGTTTGTTGAAAAATGGCCAAAGTGGAATAATTCAAAAGACATTAAGAGCTGGACAAAGGATTGGAGCTCAGACCACATGAGCTATGCATGGCCCTCTGCTCCCCAGGACTCACATTTTGTAGTGAAAAAGTTGTATTAGTTAACATCTAACTATAGATTGCTTGTATAAACCAATCTGTTTGAATGGTATTTTGTTGTCCCTGGCTGCATGCACGTATTCTTGGTCTGCCAACTTGTATCTAACAATGACTTTGCCAATTCCAGTCCTAACCAGCCAGAAAGAAGGCTTGCTTCTTGTTTTCGTCGGTGAAGACGGCTCAAGATTCACCAAGGTTGAGAGATGCAATCGGAAAAATTGAAGAACTTGTATGCATACATGTTCATTATTCGTTTATATCATAGGCAACATACTAGGATTTCGTATCACAAGCTTTTTATTTTTATTCTAAACTTCTTCGCCGGTACCTCCGACCGTGTGTAAAACTCGAGAATTTGAGAACTGGAGTGCGACATTTTGCTTACTAAAAACTATGTATCGAGCCTAGGTATTGTTTGAGCGTCATGTATGCTTTATACTACATACATCAGGCTCTATAAGAAGCATTTCAGATCGGCTTCTTTACCTCCAATCCGTCGATTCAGCTTCGCTTCAACTGAACGTCGTCAACCATGGCATCTGCTAGCGTAAACAAACCAAAAGTTCTTGTTCTCAATGCTCCTGACAAGGCTCCGAGTGATTATGTAGCAAGGCTAAAGGAGGAGGTCGAATTCTATGTGAGTGCAACACATGTTTTGTTCAAAAAGCAATCGATTGAGGAACAGAATTGTAGTCGATAGAATGGTAGCTGGAAGGATAGCTGAAGCAGTCAAGCAGAATGGTCCTTTTGTCGGTGGGATACAGTAGGTTCGATCCTTGAATCCTATATATAGTCCCAACCACCTATGACAATTATCCTGTCATAGTAGCCTTTTGGCTCAGTTGGATTTTGTGTTAGTGGTTGGGACTGAATTTCACATTCTCTGAGCTTCCCAATATTGTTTCCTGGGTTTCCGTTTCTGAGTCCATTTCTATATCAACCTTGGATGGAGCTGTGGTGGTCTGAAAGTCATCAATTACCGCCCAGGCTTTGGTGGGAATATAACTCTGGACTACATGGCTGAAAAATTTGCGGCACCTCCAGTGCTCTGTTTTTTCGATAGGATTAAATGCAAGGCTCCTTACAATGCTGTCCACAGCATTGGTTAAGAAACAAGATAGAGGAAATTTGCGGTAAATGGATGGATGTGTCATGCCTTGCCTGATTTTGCTTCCTTACCTATCATATTCCTCCTTACTACCTTCCTATATCTCCCCACTGTGTACCCAGAGCTCCCCTTGTTCGCTTTTACCATTATGTAATATGCCACATGGCTGTCACATGTATAGTATATAGGCTGGGGACTCCCCTCAGAGCTCCCCAGCGTGTTATTGTCAAATCTTATCTGGAAACTCTTCCAACCTGGCTTGGTCCCTGTTAGTACAGTTTACTTGTACTTGCTAACAGGGCCTGACACATCTCACCTGTCATACATTTCCTCTTTATCTGTTTCCCTCAACTCTGTTTCCTTCACCTCTGTTTCACTCAACTCTGTTTCTCTTCTCTGTCTCACCTCTCTGAACACCTCTCTATACTTCCTGAGCCTCTCCTATGACTTACAGTCTACGTCGAGGCTCCACACCCCCAACCACCTCCATCCTCACCAACTACACCTCCTTCCCCCACTCCAGGACCTTTGGCTAGGTCCACCCAAGCTCCGCAACCACCACTGGTCAGGCTCCCTACACCAGTAGCGGCACTTATCCCACCTCCCCTTGTACGGCCTAGGTAGCTGTCCTGTTTGCTTAAGCCCAGTCCAGATAGGACGTTGCGGAGCTACTTAAATAGGTACGGGAAGTGAATAAGGGAACATCAGGGGATCTGGTGAACATGAGGCGGTAATCAAGATTGATACTTAATGGAGTTGATCATAGAGGGTCCTGTATGCGTGCCGGGGGAGGTATGCATGTTCAGAAAGTCATCAGACATTCGGGTAATGGGAGGGTTACAGGGGAGTGGCGGTACTGTCTTGGGGGTTTACAGAGCTAGATAAGACGTATGGGAGCTTCTGGTTGGTGCTGAGATGGGTCTGGTGGCGGTCAGGACATGACATAGCTGTTGCAAAAGGCTGAATATCTGGGTGAGAATGAATTCAAGTGGGAAACAGAAGTCCTAGGCACACTTGTAAGGTTTGATCATCCTCCTTTGCATCTGTGACTACCTTTGAGAAGAACAGAGAGAGTGCCTGGTCTTTGGCCCTGAGCCATGGGGGGACTGTGAGTGACATGAGAGCAAAGAGCAAGCTGTTATTGGTTATGTAACATTTGTGGATTTCCGCTCTAATGGCACAGCCACTAGTCAGGTGCTTTTTGCACAGCCATGATTCCGCTGTTTTTGTTGTTCAATTTCCGCTTTAATAACACAACCACTAGTCAAATCCAGTGCCAAAGCTCAGAATGCTAAGCTTTAGTGCCTTTTGCACAGCCACATATCACATGCAATGCTTGAAAAGTCCAGCCACATTCTTTCTGCTATGTGGATTGTGGTGAGAGCATGTTACCTGGTTCTACTGAGGTCAGGCATTTCAAGTGGTCATTTGTCCTTGATGGATAATAGCTTTTAGTGAGTGCTTAGCATTGTGGGTGTCGCTGATGCAATTCACATTTCCATGTACTATATTGGCAACATATTGATCAAGGCTCAAGAGTGCATGCCTGCTACCTCTGGTTCAAGCTATTGTCATTCTAGTTACACTAGCAGTACTCCACGCCCCCCTGCCACCATTATTTCCATGCCTTATGTTCCTGGATTCTCCAGCTACGCTGCTGGAAATCCCTCCCTGCAACTTCAAATACAGCAGATCTGTCACGAAGCGGCAGAGGCGGAGTGACTAGCGGAGTGACTAAGCAAGGCAGTGAGGCGGAGCGACTAATCAAGTCAGTGAGGCAGAGCGACTAAGCAGAGCGGAGGCAAACTGGTCCCAGATAATGACAGAGATATATTGAGTATCGTAGTCATAGGTAGTAGTAAGTAAGCACATACCTGGTCCCAGATAATGACAGAGAGGTCAAGATAAGGGACCAGGCTGTGGAGGGTTGGCTATATATACATAATCTGATCTGCGAGAAACAATGATGTAATACTGTACAGTTCAAGGGCAAGGAAGGTGTAAGACCTGGGTCAAAATGGGTCTTAGGGTAGGTTTGGTATATGAAGTTTTATGTTGTAGCGTGCTAGGAGCAGGCTGGAGCTCGAAGGGAGCTACGAGAACCGCGACCGAGGACGGGAATGACCTAGTAGTGCCTGGAACGACGAGATGATGACCCTTGAGGGGGTTCCTAGGAGGTCCAGGGAGGTCCCTAAGGCGTAGGGAGGTTAAGGAAGAGTGCGGGACCGTACGGTATTGCGTAGTAGGAGTTGTACTCGCTAGAACGTCAATATAGGATCGAGTAGGTCATATATGCAACTGGGTCTCGAGAGTGTAAGCTCCCGAGAAGGGATATGTCAGGGAGGGTAGGTCCCTGGGGGCTGAGCTTGAGGATGGACGTCCTCGAGTGTGGGAGGTGGTAACGGAGAAGCAATACGTAGTCCGACGTGAGGGGTAGCTTCGACGTTACCTAGATCGAGGTCCCGAAGCTTACAAAGTAGCTAGGGAGCTCTGGGAGGTTTGGGGAAGGGTAGCTCACCAAGGCGGGTAGGCGTTGGGGAGCTTTAGTAATGTTCGAGGGAGCTCGGGGACTCACTCGGAAGGCTTAGACTTGAAGTAAAAGTGTATATTCGATCGTATAGGCGATCAGAGAGACAATGGACAAGAGTAAGGAGAAACAGAGGTAGTGAAACAGAGAGTAAAGAGAAATCCGTATGGTTAGCAGGTACAAAGGGACAGGGACTGGACCTATGCAAAAGGGTGTGTGTTCAAAATATACCAAGCTGGCGCTTGGGGACGTTGCGGAGCTACTTAAATAGGTACGGGAAGTGAACAAGGGAACATCAGAACCTAGGGAGCATGAGGCAGATAATCGAGAGAGACAGGCGATCGAGATTGGTACTTAATGGGGCTGGTGTCAGAGGGCTTCATACGCGTGTCGGAATGGTTGTCCGGACGTTTTCAGGGGGTGGTGGTACTGTCTTGGGGAGGTGCGTACTGCCTCAGGGATGTCCTGGGGAGGTGCAAGGAGAGTCGGGAATGTGAGAACGTGTGGGCTGATGCTGGGGCTGGTCTGGTTATGGTCAGGGCATGACAGAAGGTGGCGGAAGCCGGTAGAAAGAGAAGATGGGTCAGGTGGATCAGTAATCAATAGGGGTTTGACAGTGATGGGATGATATATCGTACAAGTAAAGGCATCGAGACGGTGAGAAAAGGAAAATGATAGGGGCTGCGTACTTTATGACAAGATCTACATTCCAAATGATTTAGTAGGATGTATCATTGGCAAAAGAGGAACCCAAATCAATGAGAGATGATATATGAGTGCCAGTCAGATCAAAACTATGGAGCTTGATGCTGCATAATGATGAGGAAGAAGCCTATGTGCTGACATGCCTAAATTTTGGCTAGACGTCTATGCAGTGAATTGTGACACTTTCATGTGTAGATTTGTATCAACAGGACTGTAATTGAGATCTAAATTGACAGTCACAGTCAATACTGAATCAGTCTAATAAGTTGAAGGGACCCTATACCCATACTACCACAAATTCGTTAGTTTACCCATCCCCAATACTACCTTTGGATAAAAGTCTACCTGTTTGTCAAGCAGGATTATACCAGACTTGGACTACATCTGAAGAATGACCATTCACATATGACATACCAAGGGTATTCTTATTGGACATTACACTGGCAGGAGTTTGGAAGAACTTACTCAAGTGACCATGAGCCAAGGGTTGACTCAAAATGACTTTCTAGAACTCAGGAATTGTCAAATACACATTCTGGAACGAGATCATGCATTAATCAAAAGACTGCAATTTAGTTTAATAGACCAATCAGGTACTAGAAAGATGATTGAAGTACTGCAAGGCTCCAAAGACATATTGAATGAATGTCCTGACACAGAAATATTGAAGAATACAATTAAATAAATACTATGCACAACTCCCTTGATAGAGTATAGACACAATGGGTGTCTATTGAAAGAGAAAAGTAATTAGTTTAATCCAGATGAATCAGATTATTAGGATTAGAAACGAGGAGAGCTGATTTGCCTCCAGAGGGGATGACAAACAATTGAAGGACGTGTTGAGCATCTGTCAAGTCCATGCCTTGGTGCCCTGCTCCACTGCTCGGTATTCCGAGATCTACCTTTCATTGTAATCTTGTTCTTATTGTTCTTTCTTGCTACACATTCCCTTTCTATCTAGCCTCTTCTTTATTATTTTATTCTCTCTCTTATTGTCTTATTCTCCACCCTGCAGGTACTATACATATAGCTCCTAGTAAGTCTGGCACTCTGCTCTGATGCGCCAATCCATAGGTATAAATACTCCTGTACTATACTGTAGTTCCTCAGTTTAATTATTGACTTAGACCAACTTAGATCTTCCTAGATCACCCTCTCTTGTCTCTCTCTGTTGTTTAATCTTCAGACTCATTGCCTTGAAGTTCTCTCTACTCTGACCTCAGGACTATAAGTTCTTTGGTTCGCTCCTCATTGTTGGCATTACTGCCGCTCCAGCTTGGCTGCTCCTAGTTACCTTCTTCTCTACTCTCAATCTCTGGGGACTAGCAGTGTAATGGTGGTGTTGTTAATAACTTCACTACTGTCCCATTCAACCCTCCACCCTTAGACACCTTGTGGCCTCTGGCACGGCTTCATGGTGTACATAATCTTAACATCATAATTAAACTCAACCCAGTAATGTTGTACTGACATATCATCTTTTATGCCTCCAAGAACTCAAGCCCATCTAGAGCAAACTCCAAAGAAAACACATTCTTCACTACAGCCCAATCATTTGCCCCTTTCTCTGAATCCATCTCTGCTATTGGTCAACCACATTACTGTATTCACAGTTTTGGTCCAGCTACTGTCCCTATGACATCAACTCTTCCTGAAGCCATGGAAGAAGATCAACAGTTCAAGTTCTGACCCCTCATTGTGGACAACCCCCGTGGTCGCCCCAGTTTGGGGCTGTTCCATTACTCAAATTGAGTCTCCAATCCTCCAAGCCATAGCTTGTCATACTGGGAAACAACCACAATGTCGTGCCACTTCTCACTCTCCTTGTGACCTGCCTCCTCATTTCAATCTGGATGCTGGTGATCATGATGATCAAGACCCTCCTGTTGACCCCAACAATCCAGGTGCCAATAATGACATTCCTGACAATGACAATCTGGATGATGACTCCAGCAGTTTACCGCATGGTGGTCCTGGTGGTCCTGGTGGATCTTGTACTCCTATCTCTCCTGACATCCCCAATGAGCAATGTGCTATGTTGGAACTCCTCTCTGGCTTCAAGGGGTCTATTGAAACAATTTTAGCTGCTCTCAACTGACCCTCTGACAGCTCTGAATATAAGAGCAAGGTCAAGAAGCCAGAGGTATTCAAAGGTTCGGACCCCTGGAAGCTCAAAACCTTCTTTGTCAATCTTGCCCTGGTCTTCAATGACTGACCAAAGTATTTCACCAATCAGCAAAAGGTAAACTATACACTCTCCTACCTCAGTGGCTCAGCCAAGGAGTGGTTTGTTCCTAATATCCTTGACCCGGATCTCAATTCTCTGCCTGCCTGGATATCCTTGTTCAAAGCCCTTGTAAAAGAGCTTTAGGACAATTTCGGCATTTACAATGCTCAAGGCAAGGCCGACGATTCTCTTGGTAACCTGAAGATGTAGGAAACCAAAAACATCCGGAAATACAACATCCAGTTCAACACTCTGGCTGCCAGTACCAACTGGGACTTTGTTGCCTTGAAATGGGCTTATGGACAAGGTTTGGCAGAACACATTAAGGACAAAATGGTGCATCTCCCCAAACTGGTGACACTCACTGACTATTGTCAAGATGTTCTTCACATTGACAATTGATATTGGAAATGCAAAGAAACCAAGAAACATGAGGCTGGTAAGCCTTTTATTGCTCGGAACCCAAAGAAGGGTTCCACGGACTTCAAAGCTGGTTCTACTAACCAGCAGAGCAACACTCAGCTATCAGGCTCTTTGGCACTGTTTATGCCTAAGCCCAACCCCTTCAATGGAGGTAAACCTCAAAACTCTTCAAATTCCAGCCAATCTGGTGGTCAGCGCCCCATATTCAATCATCTTGGTGCTGATGGGAAAGTTCTTTCCTCTGAGAGAGTGTCAAGCCCATGCCTCGGGCCTCCATTTCGCCGCTCGGTATTCCGAAGATCCACCGTTTATTGTAATCTCACTCTTATTGTTCTTTCCCGCTACACATACCCTTTCATTCTAGTCCCTCCTTATTGTCTTTTACTTTACCCTGCAGGTACTACACGTATAGCTCCTAGTAGTTAGTCTGGCGTTCCGCACTGATGCGCTGCTCCGTAGATATAAATACTGCCTGTACGCTACTGTAGTTCCTCAGTTTAATGATTGACTTAGATCGACTTAGATTCCCTCCTTAACTCTGTGCTCCTCTAAGTCTTCAGGCTCAACGCCTCAAAGTACGTTCTACTCTACCTTAGGACTTAGACGTCCTCTGGTTCGCTCCTCGTCACCGGCGATATCACCGCTCTGACCTGGCTGCTACTTAGCTCCTCCCTTCTCTACTCTCAATCTCCGGGGACTAACGGCGTAACAGCAGTGTTGTTAATGTCATAAAGTATGCAGCCCCTATCATTTTCCCTTTCTCACCGTCTCGACGCCTTTACTTGTACGATACATCATCCCATCGCTGTCAACCCCCATCGATTACTGATCCACCTGACCCACCTTCTCTTTCTATCGGCTTCCGCCACCTTCCTTGCCCCTGAACTGTACAGTATTACATTGTTGTTTCTCGCAGATCGGATTATGTATATATAGCCAACCCTCCACAGCCTGGTCCCTTATCTTGACCTCTCTGTCATTATCTGGGACCAGGTATGTGTTTACTTACTATTACCTATGACTATGATACTCAATATATCTCTGTCATTATCTGGGACCAGTTTGCCTCTGCTCCGCTTAGTCGCTCCGCCTTGCTGACCTGCTTAGTCACTCCGCCTCACTGCCTTGCTTAGTCACTCCGCTTTCCCGTTCCGCTAGTCACTCCGCCTCTGCCGCCTCGTGACAGTTAATAACTTCACTACTGTCCCATTCGACACTCTGCCCTTTAGACACCTTGTGGCCTCTGGAACGGTTACACGGTGTACATGATCTTAACATTAAGCTTCCTTGGAACAGGCCATTCCAGAATGGTCTGCACTTTCTCTTTGGACATGGTCAATCCATCAGGAGAAAGGATATAACCCAAATACTCAACAGTATCTATATTGAGCTTGCATTTGTCAGGATTGGCGTAAAGCCAATGTTTTCATAACTGCCAAAGAACTTCCTTGATGTGTTCTTGGTGTTCCTCCAGCGAATCACGATAGATTAGGATGTTGTTGAGGTAAACAATGACACAACCATCTAGCATGTCAGAGAAGATGTTATTAACAAAATGTTGGAAAGCAGCAGGAGCATTAGTAAGGCCGAAAGGCATAACCTGCCATTCATAAGAGCCATATTGGGTCCGAAAGGTGGTTTTCCATTCGTCACCTTCTGCTATTCTGACTAGATAATAAGCATGTTTGGTACAGATTTTAGCTCATTTTGGAGTGTCGAGGAGGTCCGAGATCAATGACAAGGGATAGCGGTCCTCCTTAGTGATGCAGTTGAGACCGCGGAAGTTCACACAAAGCCAAAGTTTTCCGTCCTTCTTGGGAACGAAGAGTACCGGAGCACCATGATGCGAGGAAGATGGGGTGATGGCACCAGTAGCCAGCTGTTTGTTAATAAAGTCTTTAAGGGTGATTAGCTCCTTTTCAGACAAAGGATAAATTTGACCAAGAGGCGGCAAAGCGCCTTCTTCCAGGTCAATCTTCAGAGTCAGTTTGATGTGCAGAGTTGCACTGACTTTACTTGTGTCAGATTCCTATATATAGAAATTGATCAGTTATGTAACCGTTATATAATTGTGACAGATTGTGACCATACACATCTCTTTATCACATTCTACGACCGGCGCATCGTGTCCACTCATATTCAACACTATTTTCATATGGGCAAGCCAAAAAAGGATCAGGTTGATTGAAAGCACTCTTCTGGAGATGTAAAGGCACTGGTTGGGTTCTTACACAGCCAGAGATCACGGGTAGGACAAGGTGGTAATTTTGATAGCACTGTGTACAATGAGGCTGCAAAACACCTTGAAGCTCGTGGTCCTCCAAGCCATGGAGTGGCCAACTGCTGTTTCTATTAAGAAGTACTACAGCTCTACAGTATGTTCTCGATGGTTTTTCCTATTTTCTTTAGCTAATTAGGTTGATCATCATATAGCTCCGCAAGCTTCACACAGATATTCTTGCAGTCCTTTGGGAAACATATACTGGAGCTTCAGGATGAACTTCCACTCATGAAGGTGGCTTCAATATTGTTTCTGCTACTGAGGATGCTTGGAGGAACTTTGTATCTGTTCACAAGCAGTTTAAACCTTTCAAAACAAGTGGATGGCCTCTCTGGGAGCTGATGCATGAGATCATTCTGACTCAGGCCAGAGGAGTCCATGTCTTCAATGCTGCATCCCAGGATACAATACAGCACAGGAAAGTGGTGATTCACTATCTGAGCCGGAGTTAGACCCCCGTTTGCATTCTGCTACTCCCTTACAGGATGTTGAAAATTGTTCTCCCTCTGAGGATTCTGCCATTTCCGAGTCACAGATCACTTCATCCCAGGCTTTTGATGAATCACAGGATACTTTGTCCCAGGTTTCCATGCAGGTCTCCTCCACTTTGTCGCAGACCTCTGTCACTTCATCACAACTACAGAAAACTCCTGCGCCGAAATGTGCATCCTCTGATATAGCCAACACTCCGACACTCTGGAGTAGCAAATATGTGCGTTTGACAGGCCCCAAAGCAATTCATTCACTGGGGCAGTCTGTACATGGTATCAGTGACACGCTACATGACATTTTTGGCACAACCTCTAAATCAACTGCACTTTCCCCTTCGAAAAATCTAGCTATTGCCTGGCAGCGGATCAAGGAGGATGTCCAGGGTTTTTATATCTCAGATGATCAAGCTACTGACTTGAAAATCCTATTTGCAAGGGACAATGCAGCTGCCGATGCATATGGTGCAGAAGAGGATCCTGTTGATCATGCAAAAATTGCTGCAAAGCTTTTATGTTAAATAGTTTTATCCATACACTCATTTGAGTATGATATATCCATTTTAATGTCTAATCCAATGGAGCTATTTCCATTGCATCAACTCCGCCCTGCTTATGGTATTCCTCCAGAACGGATAGGTAATTTTCCCACATCTCATTTGCCATTCTATCCTGGGCAATTTCTGCACGCCATTTTTCTGCCCGCGATATTTTCTCTGATGTAGCTAGGGATCCAAATCAATTTCCTGCTGACAACGTTGGCCTGGAAGTGGATCCTCCACCTGTTCATCGAGAATCCAACGATCAAGATCTGCCTGATCATGCTCCAAAATGAAGTTGTGAATAGCACTCAGAGCTGAGGGGATGCGGGCCTGTATATCCATTGCATAGTGGGGTGATGTTGTCAAAATAGCCCAGCGCTTCTTGATCACACCAAAAATACGTTCAACAAAATTTTGGGCAGAAGCATGGCATAGATTGTAAAGCTCCTGTGCATTTTTTGGGCTGGTAAATTCATAGTGAATCCAACAATGGTAGATAGTTCTACTTGAATGCACTTACTGCTGATTAGCATGGCCCCATTCCGCTAGATGATACCGCACACTCTGATATGGTACCAGAAGTTCATCACATATACCAAAGCCTGCATCAGCCAAGTATGATTTACCAGGAGGGATAGGAAAGTCCTTTATATAGCAAGCCCAGTGACACAGGTGTAGAGAAAAATGGCCAGTGATTCTTCAAGTGTGATTGTAGACTTCTGAGGCTCCATATATCCCATACACCTAATCTGTAGTACCAAGGCAAGAAACACATGCCTACGCATCCCAAGTGCAATATAAGCATGCCCTGGATGGCCTACAAGAAGTTCTTCAAGCCATTTTTTTCCAGTGAGAGAGGAGGTATACATGTCTTCCTTGCTGTAAAATGGTGTGAGATACATTGCTACACCAAGGGTAACGTATTGTATCAGAGAAACAATTAGTGTGATTACCCATTTTGCTCTGGTAGCTTCAGAGACTTCAGATAATGGAGAAGGCATTGCAAAATGAGTGCAGAAAAGCAAAAGATTACAAAATGATAAGTGGGCACTTGTTACTGTGAAACAAGCGCTTTCCCCTGTTGTCACGTGTGATTTCAATCAAAGATCAATTTCTATATACAGGAATCTGACACAAGTAAAGTCAGGACGACTCTACACATCAAACTGACTCTTAATGCTTTCCAGTTCTCAGCTCATCATCTCACACTGGCTATTGTCCTAGGGACCTCCCTGGACCTCTCAGGAACCTCCTCAAGGGTCACATCTTGCATTCTCATACTACTATTAGGTTATTCCAGTCCTTGGTTGTGGTTCTCGTATTCCCCTTCAAGCTCCAGCCTGCTCCTAGCACAAAATTGTTCAGGCCTTTTACACAAAGCACCCGACAGCAGCAAAACCTTGACCATCGAGGGCAATGGTCATAAGGAGGGGGGTAATTTCATGCCTATTTTTTTCCTTTTCTCACCATCTCGATGCCTTTACTTGTATGATACATCATCTCATTACTATCACATTCCATGGTTGTCAATTCCCCATTGATTACTGATCCACCTGACCCATCTTCTCCTTCTACTGGCTTCTGCTACCTTCCTTGCTCCTGAACTGTACAGTATTACATTGTTGTTTCTTGCAGACTGGATTATGTATATATAGCCAACCTGTCATGCCCTGGTTACAACCAGACCAGTCCCAGTACCCGCCACATGTTGCCATACGTCCTACCCACCTCCTGTATGTCCTCTGCACCTCCCCAAGTACCACCAGACACCTCCCCAAGTATTTCTGACCCAGCTACCCAAACGTCCTTCACCCCGACACGCGTACGAAAACCCTCCTAGCCGATAACCCCTTTAAGTATTAATCTCGATTACCTTCCTCCCTCCGATTAGCTGCCTCATGCCTCCAGATGTTCTCTTGTTCACTTCCCGTACCTATTTAAGTAACACCGCAACGTCCTGAAGCCCCAGCTTGGTATATTTTGAACACACACCCTTTTGCATAGGTCCAGTCCCTGTCCCTTTGTACCTGCTAACCATATGGATTTCTCTTTACACTCTGTTTCACTACCTCTGTTTCTCCTTACTCTCGTCTATTGTCTCTCTGATCACCTATACAATCGAATATACGCTTTTACTTCAAGTCTAAGCCTTCCGAGTGAGTCCCCAAGCTCCCTCGAACATTACTAAAGCTCCCCAACGCCTACACGCTTTGGTGAGCTACCCTTCCCCAAACCTCCCAGAGCTCCCTAGCTACTTCGTAAGCTTCGGGACCTCGACCTAGGTAACGTCGAAGCTACCCCTCACGTTGAACTACGTACTGCTTCTCTGTTACCCCCTCCCACACTCGAGGACGTCCATCCTCAAGCCTAGCCCCCAGGGACCTACCCTCCCTGGCACATCCCTTCTCGGGAGCTTACACCCTCGAGACCCATTTACACATACGACCTACTCGATCCTATATTGATGTTCTAGCGAGTACAACTCCTACTACGCAATATCGTACGGTCCCGCACTCTTCCATAACCTCCCTACGCCTTAGGGACCTCCCTGGACCTCCTAGGAACCCCCTCAAGGGTCATCATCTCGTCGTTCCAGGCACTACTAGGTCATTCCCGTCCTCGGTTGCGGTTCTCGTAGCTCCCTTCGAGCTCCAGCCTGCTCCTAGCATGCTACAACATAAACCTCCATATACCAAAACCTACCCTAAGACCTATTTTGACCCAGGTCTTACAACAAGGAGCAGAACACAATGTTCCTATACTCACAAGTGCCGGGCCCCAATGGCTGCTAGCGAAGAGGTTTCAGTCTGGTGGGAGTGTGTCTTTCCTTTTTACGGATTAGCACTGCAACGTCGTCCCAAAATCACTTGTATTCCAGATACATCGGATCACTATTTATACATACAGAATATAGAGTTGCACAGTACAATTAATTTAATACAATAAATGTTCGGAACCGCAAGGAAACTTCTACACCTGGTCTGATACCATTTAATTTGAATCTACATGTCCTTATTTGGTCCATAATGGTTCCAAGATTCAAGTATACCTCCAAACATAGGTAGGTACTTCGTTATTCATTTAATTTGATTGTTTTGGAGAATGACTCGAATGGTGTTCAACTGTCATTGCTGTTCAACACTTACTTCGATCATTTGTCACCTCGTCCGGAGGCAAATCAGCTCTCCTCAATTCTAATCCTATCAATCTGATTCATCTGGATTAAACTAATTGCTTCTCTCTTTCAACAGACACCCAATGTGCCTATACTCTATCAAGGGAGTTACGCATAGTATTCATTTAATTGCATTCTTCAATATTTTCTACGTCAGGACTCTTTGACATTCATTTGATATGTCTTCGGAGCCTCGCAGTACTTCGATCGTTCTTCTAGTCATTTTCCTCAACCATGCAACCTGATTGGTCTATTAGACTAAATCGCAGTCTTTTAGATTAATGCATGATCTCGTTCTAGAAAGAGTATTTGATAATTCCTGAGTTCTAGAAAGTCATTTCAAGTCAATCCTCGGCTCATGGTCACTTGAGTAAGTTCTTCCAAACTCCTGCCAGTGTAAGGTCCAATAGGAATACCCTTGGTATGTCATACGTGAATGGTCATCCTTCGGATGTAGTCCGAGTCTGGTATAATCCTGCTTGACAAACAGGTAGACTGCTATCCGAAGGTAGTATCGGGGATGGGTAAACTAACCAACTTGTGGTAGTATGGGTATATGGTCCCTTCAACTTATTAGACTGATTCAGTATTGACTTTGACTGTCAATCTGGGTCTCAATTACAGTCCTCTCGATACAAATCTATACGTGAAAATGTCACAATTCACAGCATAGACATCTAGCCAAAATTTAGGCATGTCAACGCAAACCTAGCGGAGGCCGCAGCTAAAATCGATAAGGAAAGTAACAAGGATGCTAACACAATCGCTGCAAAAAATTGTAGGTGCAGGAGATACACCACGGCTCACCTCCTGGCCCCAGTGGAGTCAATGCCTGATCAGGATAGTCCCGTCCGGGTCCGTAGCGGACAGACGGTATACACGTACACACCCATGAGGCATATGCACCAGCTTCTGGTGAGGAGCGAGGAGTCTGAAGCAATGTTGTGTTTGCAGGAGACCCGACACCGGACGTTACTAGCGGAATCAGACACTCTGATGCTGTCGGAGGAACTTTCTGGATCGAATCTAGAAAGAGCTTTGGAATTCCGTTGCAGACTGGTCGCGGATAATCGGGGAACCTCATATATGGTTCAATGCGAACCAGAGAGTGTAGGGGAGTTCCCTCCGGAGCAATTTGACCAGAAAAGGCAGCTCCATGGATCTGATGGTTGTTTCCTGGCACAGAATCATTCATTTCCCAGGAATATCGAGGTTCCTGAATTCCTTAACCCCGGTAACACGGCCATGAGGAGCCCCTAGTTACGCTCGGGGACCTCCCCCACTGTACATGCCTTGGTTCAAAATTCGACTCCTCCCCCCAGAGTTAACCTGCAAACAAAACCGGTAATGCCAGTCTCGACACAGCGGTACCAGTTTGGGGAGGTAAGGATGGATGGTGCACAACATTCATCACGGATCTACGGACAAGATCTGACAGCTCAGCTGGTTCCCAACCCTGTACACGTTCCTCCAAGACTGAGCAATCCATCAGTCATACCCTATCAAGGGTCGGTATCGATGCAATCCCACGCGGTGGGAGCGGAGAGTCAAAGGGATCCGAACCAATGAAGGACGTTGGTAGTTCACGAAGAGGCGGTACCCCCGCAGGGAGCCCCTTTAGGAACTCCCTTTGTAACTGGAGTTCAGACGAACCGACCTGGCATGGTTGTCGACTCGGCACACTCTCAGGAATCGGTAGCAATGATCCAACAACAGGCTCGGGTCATTGAGACGCTCCAGGAACAACTCCGTGAGGTAAAGAAAGGATTCACAGCGGGGGAAGTACCGACTGGAGGACCCCTTTCCAAAACAGGAAACACGGCGGGATTATTTGGGCGAGCACCTAGGGTAATGAGAGAATATACGAGGGGGGGTCCTTCTCCTGTAGTTCCCCAGCCAAGGAGCTGGCAAGCTACGGAACCAATATCCTTTAACCGAAACACTCCTACAGGAGCTAAGGATGGAAACCCCCAGGTAGAACAAGCAGGACAGATCCCGGCTACTCCGAGTGTGGACCGACGACATATTCACGAGTGGGGAGCCCAAGTGCAAAGAGCTGAACTAGGGGAGTATGGGAGACCAGAAGGAGGAGCGTACGCATTGGAAAACGAGGGAGGAGGCAAAGGCGGTTTTAACCCCCCTCCTAGAGTACCTCCCCCACATTTTTCTAGTCAATTGAGAGATTGAGAACGACCTCTGAGTCAAGGGGGACAGGGTCAAAGAGAACAGGGAGGAAGGAGCGGGGGAGGGGCACCACCTCCGCCTCCTTCTCCTCCACCACCTTCCGGGGGACCGGGTGATAGTAATTCGGAAGGTTCCGACGAGGGGGAACAGAACCAATCGAGTAGGAATGGTGGAAGGAGAGAGGAGGACAGAGGAGAGCTCCCCACTGGAGCTCCTGAAGTACCTCCAACACGCTATGACCCGGACCAACCCTGGTACTACGATCCAAGACAAGGTTGGCACCGTAAGGCAGCTCCTAGACCTCCCAACGAGGGACGGAGTACGTGGGAGAGCAACGAAGAAAAAAATCGGATTACCATTGAGTCGAAGCTCGACGTCGGTAAGATCAAAAGCTTCGCAGGTGACGACCGGTCTGCATGGAAGATGTGGGTCCTCAGTTTGGAAAGGATGTTTGGAGTACGACCTACCATCTATGCTCGTGAAAAGGACAAGTGCGCTTCGGCAGCCAGCCATCTCACCGGTGCAGCACTCTCCCACTTTGACACGTTGAATCGGCAACGACTGAAGGGGGAGTACACTTGCCTCGAGGACTGGACGGAGTTTAAACGAGAGTTCGGTTCCAAATTTGGACCCATTGACGAA